TATCTCTTCCATCAGGTGAACAAGAGATCCAGTCATTCTATGAGGATGAAACCATTGAAGATGCTTCTCAGGACAATCAAGAGAAACCAGACCAACCAGGATACCATCAAGGAAGAAAGATCATGTGTCCATACCCTACTCCACCTGATACACCACCACCCATGACACTCTTGGCCCAACTTCTCTCAGGATCTGATGAACAACATCCATCACTCCAGGACACTGGCACAGCTAAAACAGTACCGTGGCATGCTACATTCATAGCTGGAACACAAGCAGGCAATGTTGGATCCCATGAAGGGAAGCCAATTGACAAAGCATACTTGAAGAGGTTGCTGGCTCAGGGGGTGAAACCACACAGGAACCAACTACTACCTCCACCCAAGCACCATTGGCAACTCAAGGACCATGAACTCAGGGAACAGTTTGAGGAAATAGAAAGAGCACATCTCAGATCCCATATCCCTACACAATCCTGGACTGAAGTCTCAAGCAAGGGAGTGAAGGATGCTGGTCACCAAATCCTGGACTGTATGTGGGTATATGTGTACAAGTTTGACAAGCATCACAGACTGGACAAATGCAAGGCCCGTCTGGTTGTAAGAGGAGATCAACAGAGAAATATCATATCTCAAGATACTTATGCTGCAACATTGGCAGGGAAATCTTTCAGGATGATGATAGCCATTGCAGCACACTTTGACCTGGAACTCAAGCAATATGATGTTACCAATGCCTTTATGCATACATCCATGAATAGAGAAGTCTACATGCAGATGCCCCCAGGATACAGGAAACCAGGAATACTTCTCAGACTCAACAAGGCCCTGTATGGACTCAGGATTTCTCCCCTGCTATGGCAGAGGGAATTGACAAAGACACTGGTGGAAATGGGATTCCACATAGTGAAACATGAACCATGTTGTCTCATCAAGGATGGAATCATTCTGTTCTTCTATGTGGATGATATCATTGTTGCATTCCATAAGTCCAGGAAGAGGGAGGCTCAGGAATCCATCAGGAAACTCACAGAGAAGTACACCATCACAGGAGGTAGTGATCTTCAGTGGTTCCTTGGTGTGGAAGTCCTGAGAGACCATGAAGAGCACACTCTCCTTCTCTCCCAAGCCCAGTATGCTGAGAAGATCAGCCATCTGGTGGACAGAACAGACCTCAGACATGATACCCCAATGACAAATGTTGAACTCAAGCCAAGGGAAGGCCTAGCAATACCATCTGAGATCAACAAGTATCAGAGAAAGATTGGATCCTTGCTATTTGCTGCAGTCACCACCAGACCAGACATTGCCTTTGCAACTTCCAGACTGGCCTACTTCCTGATGAACCCAGGACAGGAACACCAAAATGGAGCAGACTGCATCTTCCTCTATCTCCTTGACACAAAGAATCTTGGCCTCAAGATGGGAGGAGGTGATGCCTTGGAAGTTGCAAGTGATGCATCATTTGCAGACATACACTGAACAGGAAGAGTTCTCAAGGATACACAATCAAACTGTTCAATGGCTTTATTGCATGGAAGGCAAACAAGTAAAACACAGTCACCACATCTACCACTGAAGCTGAACTGCTTACACTCTCACAAGTAGCAAAGAAAGCCATGTTCATCACAAGACTTCTCAAGGAACTAGAGGTTCCGTTCCCAGAGCAGACAATAACCATCCATTGTGATAATCAACAGACCATCAGACTCCTCAATGCAGAGATCTCAAGATTGCAGACCAAGCTCAGGTATATGGACATTCACAATCACTGGCTGAGGCAAGAGATATCATCTGGGATCATCAGGATTGAGTATCTGCAATCAGAAAAGATGCTGGTAGGTTCCAAGCTGAGGGGGTGTGTTAGATGTTAAGCCAGTTTATGGACATCCCATCTGGGACTGAAGAGAAGGACTGGGAGAAATTGTCTGTACCGGTACTATCTGAGGATATGTGGCTAGTGATTCTGCAGTGGCTAGTGCTCTGCACAGCTTTGGTGCCCAGAGAAGGAACATCAAAACTGGTGTCAGACCCCAGCCTCATACACACAAGCACATACCTGAATACAATCAGTCAACCCATCTTCATTCAATCTTTCTGTCACCGTGATATCTTCAGATACCATCAAATCTGACACATACAGAGAGTGATAACCTCATTATCTTTATAGTACTGCTGGAATTCGAGTGAGTCGTGGCTCTCATGGCTATCAAGAATAAGTAGACATGCTGTGCTAATAGTACACTGCTTTGTATGCTCATCAAAGTGCTTTAGCCACTGTAGACCAAGCTTATTTGTTGTCCAGCCATTCTTAGAGACTGCAATAACCTAATCGTAAGGTAGATCCATCTCCTTGTACCAGGCAGAGAGGTGATGCTTGCCCTAGAAGATAATAAAGGGTGGGATCGCTCAACCCATCGCATTGATGCCCTAAATGACTGTCGTCCACTCCTGGTTGCCCTGCTGCATACTCTTTGGCCTGCCTCGATGCCCAGAGCCTGTAACAACTGCTCCAGTTGATATCATGCCCATCATAAAGCCAGACTCATCAAAGTTGTAGGTGTCATCATCTAGGATACTGTACTTCACTTTGGTATTCTCTACAAGCTGGAACCAGCCTTGTATAACCTCGGGATCCTCACAGAGAACTCTCTTATAGTCATACTTTCGATTGAACTTAATTTTAAGCTCTGGCTGACGCTTGACAAAGGTTGCAGCCCAGTTCTGGCCAACTGGATCTCGGTGGCGCTCAGCCAGCAAGGAATCAGCTATATCTTTAACAGCAGCAAGCCGGGGTGGAAATCCTCGCGCATCTAGGTCCAGTATATGCTGAACAATCACCTGCTCCTCTGTCGGAAGGAGCTTCATTGAGTTGGGCGTACAGTCGCGTCGAAAGCTGATTCCAGCGTGTCAGGTGCTTAGTGTACTTTGAGGGATGTTGTAGATAGCTGCAGCGTGTCGTTGGGATAGTGTCGCATCTTGTTTGATAGCGCAAAGGCAAGCTGTAGTCGAGCTTCTTTAGATTCTGGTAGCTTGTTAGGTGGTTGAGACATCGTGATTATATTATGTTGATGGTACATTTTGGTAGGGTCTTGGCATAGTGATCAGCTCGCCCGTGTGATCAGCTCGCCCGTAAGGTACGTTATGCCTTTCGTTTTTCTGAAGCGGGAATTGGGTTGCGTCAGGTGGTGGGTGCGGAGACTAGGATTTGACGCGGTCGAACTCCTGGAAAGGAGAGTGGGAGGGGATACGGCGTAAAAGAGAACTTGAGACCTCCAAGGCCATCTGTGGATGTTGTATGACTGTTCGAAAACGAGAGCGATGCGCATGGGCGGGGACAAGTGCTCGTGAAGAGTGATGGATTCCAAGGGTTGGTGAATGCGGATGTAGGGCACCTCGTGCGGACAATCGGGGGTGTTAAGAGTGGCAAAACTTATAAGCAGGCAAATGAGGTGAAAACGTGATGGATCGAATCTATCATATGAGTGGCAAGTGCAGTCGTGTTGGTGGCAGCCACAGCCGGCATGGAGTGCAGCCTCCAACAAAAGCTCAGGAGGGTGGATGGACATGTTGCGTCCCCGTCCTGTTCGCATGGTAAATCGTTGGATGGAGAGGCACACCCATATTTTGTGGCGAAATCACCCTGTTGGAGCAACTTTAAGAGAGAACTAGCAGTAGCATAATCCAGTGGTACGGATGAACATCCTTACCTTCTACACTGTCAGAGTATATAAGTCATTGTATCCAAACTCTGCAATTGCACTCCCTAAACGTGCTGATTGTTGGAGAGTATTCTACAATGGCACGTCAGAAAGCGGAGTTGTGCATCGTTCCTCCATCACACAGAACAGGTCACGCGCCGATGTGAAATCGAAGCATGATTTGAAGCCTGGCATGCGGTGGGATACCAAGCAACACACGCGATGCCATTCCAGTCCTTATTATCTATTGTGTACGCTATGTGTAGAATCCGATTTAGCAATTTAGCATAAACTGTGGGACAGGCAATAGCTGCGCGAATGATGAGGGTTGCAGACAGACCGTCCCGTCCAATGAAGTTGTCGACAGAGGGTCACACAGGCAGATTATCGGGGCTGCAGGTAATCCTGGGGAAGCTGTTCATACAATGAAGTTGTGTGATAATGTCCCACAGACCGAAATCAATGGCTCACAAACTTCTGAACCACTGCAGTCTCCCATTTGTTGAGCTGCTAATGGATGAGTATGATTGAGATATTCCTTGAACCGATGGTTCTACAGGGCGAGGAGACATCACCGTCACGTCTTTCACTTGAGTCAATCTGAACTCCCTCATAGTCAAGCCTGCCATCCACGAACTCTGGATCCGCCATAAACATGGCCGAGGCCTTCGCAGCAATATCTTTAGCATGCAATGTCTTGCAGCTAGCAGAACTGTCACGAAGTGTTTTCCGCACCACGAAGGAGCTCCGCGCATCCGCAAATGGAACGACTGCAAACCACGTCACTCTCCAGACAGTGGCGTACAGCCTGGGAGGTGTCGTTGAAGATATAAGCCGTAGTGATGCCGAGCATCCGCTGAAACAGTTGGCCATCCAATGTCGAGTAGCCGCTGACAAGCACATCGCCATCATCGAGAACTTGCGAGTCAAAAATCCGAACAGCCGGATCGAATTGTTTACTGGAGCTCTCAGAAATGTGTACAGGAGACGCGACTTGGAGGAATCCTATCGGAGTCTGGACGAACTGAGTAGCGCCGCTGCAGCGTACGTTACCCTCACTCGTCTACCTCGTATAGACAAGAACGTCGAGATTCAAAGACATGATATCAAGAAGATTTTGGACGACCGAAGTCGTATTCAACAAGAGTTATCGAAACTGAGCTCGATCGAAGAACAAAACCGGGACGCAAGTGCCTCTGTCGCCGACTCGGTGAAACACATTGCGCAGTGGCTTCACAAGAAGGAACAACTCAATACGAATCTGGGGTGCTTGCGGGCGTTGTATGCGCCTGAATTGACTATTCGGGAAGACCGCGTGGAAGAAGCCCATTGCAAAACCTTTTCCTGGATTCTGGACAATGACGATCTACAAGCGAATGACTGCAGAGTCAAGTTTTGCAGATGGCTACGGTCCCACAACCCGAACGAGAACTTTTTCTGGATTATGGGGAAGCCAGGAGCTGGAAAGAGTACGCTTATGAAATTTCTCGCCAACAACGCCCGCATCCCTGAATTGCTGAGCGACTGGGTTGGGGATGGCAAGCTCCTTATATGCAAGCATTACTTCTGGAAAAGCGAGAATTCCCCACTACAGAAGTCGCTCATTGGTCTCTTGCGGTCTATTCTACTCCAAATACTGAGGGAATACCCCGAGATGATCGATCATGCATTTCCGAGCCATGAGAAGGACTGTATGATTGGCGGCGACGCATTCGAGTTCTCCCGGACTTCTCTCGTTCAAGCTCTTGAGCGCGTATTGCAAGATATACAAAGTATCAGACTGCGTCTGTGTATCTTCATTGACGGTCTCGATGAATGCGACAGCTTGGATGCTCATCCTGACTCAGTGATGAAAGAATGGAAACTCATCAGGTTCCTCAAGATCTTTGAGGATAACCCATTTGTGAAAGTCTGCGTATCAAGCCGCCCATGGCAACCATTTGAGTGTACACTCGGTGAAAGGCCGGAGCTTTTGATTCGCATCCATGAGCTTACACAAGGCGACATAGCGACCTACGTACTGGAGACATTCAGCAGTAATGTTATGTTTCAAAGACTTGCAGAAGAGGACGACACTTATCACGGCCTTATCAACGAGATTGTAGAGGCATCGCAAGGAGTCTTCTTATGGGTTCGAATTGTTTGCCAAACTCTCCTTGAAGGAATCACCAATGCGGATCGCATATGCGACTTGCAACGGGAGCTACGACGCCTTCCGGATGAGCTCAACAAACTCTACGATCATATTTTGGAAAGCATCAACCCCTCACATTATGAGATCTCGGCCCGGGTACTACTTGTACTATCCCGAAATCTCGAGCTCGGACATATGCCTCTCCCACTCTTGGCCGTGCAATACCTGGACGATATGGAGTGCGCTTCTGCATTGAAGAGATCCACAATCGATACCCCATCACTTGAAAAGACCATGTATACTGCGAAAAATCGGCTGAATGCGCTTTTCAAGGGCCTGGTTGAAGTAATCGGAGAGTTTAAGTGGCTCGATTGGGAGGTCGAATCTTCTAATGATGACATACATCCTACCGTCCACTATTGCCATAGAACGGTGGCCGACTTTGTGCAGACTAAGATGGACTTGCTCTTATCCACAGCGGGGCCTGACTTTCGACCAGATGAAGCTCTGGCCACCGCACTGTTAGCCATCATGCATGACATCCACGCTATTTATCGGGATGATAATCAAAGACGTCAGGACTTCTGGGACAATGTAATGAGGAGCTTTTTCAGTGACGAGGATGACTTCTCCAATCTAATTTTCTGGCCGCGGTCGAGTGTAGAACGGTTCTTTGACCACCTCGGTGTTCTGGATGCCACTCTAGCGCACCACCTATTCAAAGCCTTCGAACCTATCGCCACAGAGCCTGTTATTGCGGGAAAGAGGTCATTGCTTCAATGGATTTACGATATAAGCGATAGGGAGAATCTCCTGCCTCGCGACATCCTCTTCATGAGGGCCTTTAAGGACTGTCCCGGAGTGATGGCCGTAGAATGCCGAGTTGATCGAACACTGGTAAATAAGCGATTGCGATTTTGGCCAACTCTCCTCTGGGCAACACGTAGGGAACCTCAAGATGAGGATGTGGCTATAGAATTCCTCGAGCAAGGCGCCGACCCGAACACGAGTTACGATCATCCCGACTCATGGCGCTTCTACCAGGGGTATGGATCGCTAATGCTGGATAGAAAACAAGGGGAGATCATTAGTACTAACACTTGTTGGAACCACGTGCTCCAATCAGAGTTTTCTTGCAAGTTCCTGCAATCGGACTATCAGTCTCAGAGGAAACGGCTGGAAGCTTTCTTGGAGCATGGAGCTTCACAAGACGATTTGAGATTCAAAGCCATCCTATACCGAGAGGGTCCTCGCTCCTCTGAATTGCCTCTAGGTACACCATACGGCTGGAAGAAACTATTTTTCGACAAAGACGAGAACGGTTTCCTGCACTGTTCAGTTATACTTCGGGACAAATACGATTCTGAAGTAACCGATTGTGCTATTGCTGAGGACCACTTCTCCCTTCCCCTGGCCACGCTCGTGAACAACTTAGTCGGGGAGGTTATATGTGAAGGGGAGATCGTAGACATCGAGAAAATATTTGAAGAGGTGGCAGAAAAGCTGTGGAAAAAATTCAAAGCACAAAGAGAGAGGCAGAATGGACCGTCACGGCGCGTGTAGGGACGTGTACAGAACCTATCAACCTGGTCATTTATTGCACATATTTCACATCTCGATCCTTTCCTAGCGGATATATGCAAGCTATTAACAGCTTTCTAAATGTACGGAAGGATCCGATATTTGTAAAACGAGTGAGAGGACCGAGGCTCTCTGGATGTGATTGGCTTAACGTTACTCTGTAAATATGGTTTAAGCATTGTCTCCTGCACCTCTTTCAATTTAATCAGATACTGCTTTTCAGGGCAGCTCTCTGCCGCAGTGCCGTGGGTAAAAAGGAGCATATAAAATGTCGATCAGCTTTGGGTACCGGAATCAGGGTGAATGGGTGCACATGAGGCTCAATTGGCGAGAAACAGTTCCAACAGCCGGACTTTGCGGTTCCGTAGGGGTAAAAATTTGCGCTTTTTTTTATCGTATGACTTACGTATCTTTCATAGAACAGTCCTTTCGTCAACCAGGTGTTTCAATCTCAAGGTCACGTGTATGCGACGATGGTTGTGGCTTATCGATAAGCTTCTCTAGATAATAGTTCAAAGGTGTCCACAACCTCACAACCCAAAAGCCCTTCGCAACAAAACCCACAAGCCCTCAATCGTCTGCCCATCATAATACAAGAACTTTGGCTGCTTTCGATTCAGCCATCAACTCTATCGCAACCATGGATTCTCTCGACGTATTCACCAACCTCCCCCTGCAAATGGACCCAACCACAAAAGCCATTAGCACCACCACCCCGCAAAACAACGCCATCGAGACCGAACTCGCCGCCCTCAACGCCCTCCACCGCTCCCTCCTCACCCTCGACACCCCCACCGGTACACCCCCACCCCCCGTCCCCGTCAACCCCAAGCGCTCCGCGCAAATCAGCAAGCTCCGCGAATCCGGTAACACCGAGTTCCGCAAGGGAAACCACGCAAACGCCGTCCGCATGTACTCTCTGGCGATCGAGATGGCGCTCGGGCGACCGGCATGGGAGCCTTCGGGTCTTGTCAGGGAAGAAGTTTCGGGATTGTTGTCGAATCGGGCGCAGGCGAATATGGCGCAGCAGAATTGGCCCGAGGGAGCTGTGGATGCGGAGGCGTCGGTGGAGATGAAGAGAGTTGGGAATGCGAAAGCTTGGTGGAGGAGGGGGAAGTGTTTGATTGAGATGGGGAGGTTGGACGAGGCCGAGGCGTGGGTTAAGGAGGCGTTGGAGTATGAGGCTACGGAGCAGGATTTGGTGCAGTTGAAGGCGGAGATTGAGAAGAGGAAGACGGCGACTATATAGGGATGACGGCTGGGGAGGTGGATTGGGTTGGGGGATATTTGTGGAGCTGCATTGCGAGGCGTTAGTGGAGTTATTGGTTTTTCTCAGTGGGACTGGGAACTAGAGACTCTACTTCGTGTCTGGATTTTCAGGCAGATGATAGATTATTGCTGAGCACATTCTACAATGACCTTTTTGCACAATCTCTGGCAGGTGATGACAGTTCTCCAGGGGTTGAGTACGTCGAGCCATGCTTGTGCTACATGCACCACGCACAGCTTTCCATTCGTGGCCCCGCTAGGCGGCCATCCATAAAAAAGGACCAAACCTTCAGCAGCAGCGAAAAATGACCATGATAGTAATAGGAGGAATTGACAAAGTTGCACACACGTCCTGAACGCGTTGCCACCTCATCCGTCTTGCCTTCAACCCACTGAACCGCCAGCGCCGTTCGAATCATCAGAAAGTAGGCGATGTTGAGGGAACGGAGAGTAGGTTGGTCAACTCAATAGCGTGGGCTATGTTTCACTACATGATCTTGGCAACCGATGAATATGCGAACGGAGGCTTTCCAAGCACGACCTACATTGCTCGTAGACGAGTCGAAGCAGGTCTAGCAAATCTGATAAGATTGAGGAATGCAAATTCTATACGTCCTCAGAGAACATTTTCAGAGGCAAAGCCACGCGACTCTATGTATCGTACACGCACAGAGGAAGATGCAGAGGGTTTGATCAAGAAGAACACATCGCGGAGTATAACCAATAGCAGCCAGAAGCCCAAGCCCAGCCCGCACAGCCGCTCATGAAACCGGGAGGCGTTTTACTCATCCTTGACGCCACCACGTCCAGCCCTCTCAGCCGCCTCGATACTCTTCTTATCCGTCTTGATCTCACCACCCTGCATCGCACCCATGAAGCCGGAGGCCACCTTCCACGGGCGCTGGAGATCGCCCGTCGCGGGATGACCCAACAGATGGATCTTGACCAGGTTGCCCTCGAAGGCGCCCTTCAGAGGAATGATGGACTGGATGAGGAGCGGGTTTGTGTATTTCAGGTACAAGTGCATGAAGGCCATCATGCCGACGCCCATGAGCTGGTTCTTGAACAGCTGACGCAATTGTTGCAGGTCGTACGCTTTGACGGTCGTGGCGACGAATTTGGGTTCCTCGCCGGATCCCATGGGCGCGGGCTCGACGTATTTCACGACGGTCATGTCTGTCGAAGCGGTCAGGGAGATTTGCTTAGGAGGATCGCAAAAGAGGAGAAACCATACCATTCTCCTTGTTGATTTGCGCCTGGACGTAGAGGTAGATGCCGGCGATGACAAGGTTGGAGACGACGTAGAGGGCGCGGACCGCATTCAGGACATTTGGATCATCGAACGGTATCCTCTTGGATATTTGCATAAACGCCCTGTCACAATCAGTAGAAGCCCATGGGAGGACGCGATTCGGATCGATCATACAAAATGATGACGAGGTTGGTACTGGAGCGCATCAGTCAGTATATACTCCGTACGACAGAGCAAGGGCGGGAGCACTTACACCTGGGGGTTGAGAGCCATGATGAACTGGTAAAGCGAATGCTCTTGAGGGAGTGCGGCGCAGGACGAGGTAGAAGATCAATCCAACGCCGCTGGTGTTGAGGACTTTTTGGTTCGGTGTTATTATTTAAGCGTCTTGGCGGGGCCGACCAAAAGGACACATTCACGGAAGGTAGACAGTAGACCAAAAAAAGGAGTAAATTCATATGCCCCCTTTTTCCTCCTTGAATTCAAGATCAGTAGAATTTAGCCCGGGTAGTCTCTCAATGAAGAGACTGTGAGAATCTTTGCGCACTTCCGGATTGAAATGCATGAGGTATTCATTGCCGGCGCCGTGAGTACAGTGTTAAAGCAGGGAATTACCCAAGGAAGTGGAGACTATATTGTGCTATGGTATCATCAGCATAGCGGCCTTCAAATCCCCCTCCAGAGAGTAAGGTTCCGTCCAACGTCCGCCTGAGCGGATGACCCAAAAGTGAGAAAGTACAGGACTATGCCATGATACACAGGTATGTGCCCATGCCTGAACTCTCTTAACTGCTTCCAGAATTATAGCAATGGCCATATCCGATAATGCCCTTTCCCATGCCCCATATTTGCGCATCGAGCTTATGCCTCCTACTTCGTCCACTCGGCTTTACAGTTGCACCGCCTCGTCTTGACATGTAGCACGCCAGTGTCCGCCGCCGCATATAGCCAATCCGCCCACTCCAGCTGATGCTCAATGAACCTAGGACTCTCGCCCGCAATTATCTGTCCGTCAGCAATCCGTCTCAACCAGGACCTCAAACGCCTAGCCAGCCGAGCGACCGAGAGCTCCGGCCGTTGCTGCTCCTCCGCCATCTGGTCTTCACGGTCAATCATGCGTTTGAGCCTGTCCAACAGCTCAGCGTAGATGTCTTCGGATTCCTCATAGCGGATCAAATCCTTGGCTGCGCGCTTGAGACGCTTGGTGTCGGCTGCAGTGGCTCGCGTGCAGGGAAGATAGTCTTTGCGGGTGACGATGCGGCCTGTGAAGTCATGGATCCATGAGGATGGCTCGGCGTCTCGAATGACTAGGTCACCTTCGTGGGGCTCATACTCGTCGGGAGAATAGTATGGTTCGTCCGCAGCAGTTGGCTCAGGCTCAGGGTTCGGTTTCGGTTTGAGAGTCCTCTGCGTGTTCGCGATCTCCCTGTTTGTGGACTTCTTCATTGCTGGCTCAACCGGTTCTTCTTCCTGGATTGCTGCCATATGCTTGGTGGCACTTTGCTCCTCAACGGCATCGAAATACTGGCTAGTACTGAGAGCAGAAGACCTCCGCGGCTTAAACGCTGTCGCTTGGCTAGGCACAGCTGCAGGCGGCCGCACTGAGCTTGATCCCGCGGCCACAGCAGGGACTGGCGAGTGGGTTGCGTCGCGCTGCGTACCGAACGTCATGGATTGCTTGACCTCAGAAGACTGGTCCTCAACATCGTCTTCATCGGGAGCAGCGATGTTGAATGAGAGACGCAGGTTCCGGTGGTTAGATGCTCTCTGCCCGTTATTTGGAGCCGCAGGAGCAGGAAAGGAAGAGAATTTGGGCTTGGGGTCGACAGCATTGTATGACTGGAAGGGGCTCGAATTGCTATCAGTATCAGAATCGTTTTCAGGCGAACGATATTCACTGAAGCTGAAGGCCTTGACTTTTGGAACCGGTGTACGCGCGGCCTAAAGAGTCAGTCAATGAACTCAACTAGATGACACCGGAGACAAGAGATTACCAGATGGGCCATCATATTCTGAGAAGTGGCGGTGAACATGGTGGGTGGCGTCGGTAGTTCCAACCCTGGAAGGTTGCTGAGATGGTTGGTTTGACGGTTGTGGAACCTATGGTTCTTTGTGGTAGAAATAATGACGCCGGATCTGTAGGAGTCAAAGGGAGGGGTCCGTGAGGAGTCCCGTTGTGAATACTTGACCGCTTCGCCAAGTTGGAGACGAGCAGGCTAGGTGTAAACAAACAAAGCTTCGGAACCGCAAGCTGCTTTTGATTTCGCTGCCACCGCCTGACTCTCTGTAATTACACACACCGCTGCGTAGAAAGCTTTCGCACAGATTTGTGTCTTACGCTCCTCTGCGTCTTGTTGAGGGGTCCATTGCCTCTTGACTGTTTACTGGAGAGCTTCACGACGCTAGTCCATTCAAAATCGCGCTAATCCCAATAAACACTAGTTAATGTGGCGGATGTGGCGTTGAACAGCCTCATCGTGAACGTCAGTGCAAGACACAGCATGTATATGCTGATCCTACTATTGACAAGTGTTGTCAGTTGATTTCCACAATGCCCATTACCTCAGTGGTCATTTGGTAGATCATCCGCATCGACGATCGTCCATACGGGAATCCCCCGAATATCTCGCCGACCTACTCTCCTTGCCTTCTCGGCCATCCGATCCAATTTATCTCCGTGTGAACGAGCTGTTTAATTAAGGCAAGAATATGAGGATAAGTTGAGACAGTACTTTATCTGCGAAAAAATGGCGCCAAAACGGCGCAAATCCGCCTCGCCCGTTCCGCCAGAACCACCAAAAAGACACCAAACCCGATCAGCAGCTAAAGCTACTTCAAGTGGCGGAGTTCCCAACGAAGCCACCAAAATGGATACGGAATCCCTCGAGACAGAAGAGTCGCGTCAATCAAAATCAAAATCAACTAAGAAGACGGTTTCCAAGTCTTCCGTCTCTGGGACATCAAAGTCATCGAAAGAGATACATTCGAGAAACGTATCAGGGACAATTGCAGATAGTCCTTCTACTTCGAGTGTAACAGATGGCAAGGGCACATCGGCCGTTTTATCTCTAACACATCCCTCACTCAAAAACCCCATCCATTGCGAACTCTACAACCCAGCATCGCCTTCCACAGAGACGCCTCAAAGCCCAACCCTGATCTTCACCCATGGAGCAGGCGGTACCCTATCCGCCCCCGCCGTCGTCCACTTTCGAGAAGGCTATGCCTCCCAACTTCCGATCTTCCTCTTTCAGGGATCTATGAACCTTGCCGCTAGAGTGAAGGCATTTCACGCCTGTGTCGAACACTCCAAGTCTAATGGGCCCAATCCGAAAGAGGCGATTCATGCGAAGCATCCTCCACTTCTTCTCGGCGGCCGCAGCATGGGTTCCCGCGCCGCTGTTCTCACAGCCTTGGACATCGTATCCAGACATCCAACGACCTCCGTCTCCCTAATTCTATGTTCCTACCCACTCTCTCCATCGAAAGGTGACGCAGACACTCGCTCCGCGCCACTGCTTTCCTTGCCCCCGCATTGCGATGTGCTATTTATTGTAGGGTCGAGGGATGCTATGTGTCCACTAGAAGAGCTGGGGGAGCTGCGGAACGAGATGCTGGCGAGGAGTTGGTTGGTGATTGTTGAGGGGCTGGATCATGGGATGAGGGCCAAGAGGGAGGAGGAGTTGGGGCGGACAGCTGGGGAGGTGGCTGCGAGCTGGGTGCGTGGGGAGAGGTGGGAGGGAGAGAAGAGGTTAGGACTAGGGGATAGGGATGTGGAAGTGGAGGAGTGATGGACGGACGATGCGAATCGGTGGAATAGGGATTCGTTGCCCTGGTTCAGGGCCGTTGGCAAAAAGGATAGGATTCTGGCATGAATGTTACATGGTATAGGCCATCAGAATGGAGCGGAGCAAGTCTGCTATACATTCAACATGGCAATCAGCGACTTAATAAGCGCAAGCTCCGATATACCCTGTCATCACGTTATGCATCAACCTTGTAGAACCCACGAGGGCCAGATAAGCCTACCCTGCCAGAAGGCCTCCTATCTGGTAGTCAATAACGAATTTAAAGCAGATATGCGTAGATCGGAATCCCATAAATTGAAGCCTATGAACGTAAGAAAATGGACCCAAACGCCCACGCCGGGGTATCAGTCATCTCAATCATCCCATTTCCGCCTCTCCCATACTATGCCCCCTTCGTCGTCTTCCCGAAAGTACCCTACTCCCATCGCTCAACCACCACCCCCTCGTCCTCCTCCCCTCCACCCAGCAAGCTCCCCAGTTCTTCCTCTACCACCCCTTCCTCCACCATCGCCATCGCCATCTTCATATCCGCCGACCCAATCTCTTCATACAGGGCCGTAATGCCCGTAATTCGGCACGTTCTGGCCGTGCAAGCCATGAGCACAAGTCCCAGCATCGCAAACGGGCCTACCGCCACCAGCTGGGTGAAGTGCCTGTAACTACAAGTCAGCTTACTCCAGATCCTATAACTAGAACAACTCCACAGGGTAAAGCTTACAGGTACCATTGATGAATACAATGTTCATCCCAATACTGCAACCTGGAAGCAATCCGCTCTTCCGCCGCTTTCTTCTTCTTCTTGGTGCCGGACGCGTTTTCGAGGTCCTGCAGCAGCAGGCCGAGCTGCTTGCGGAATTGCTGCAGGGACTTGAACCAGTGGTTTCGGCGGTGCTGGTTGCGGTTGCGGGCAAAGAGGTTGTTGAGGAGCGAGTGGATTTCGGTGAGGGATTCGGTGTCTTTTGCGGAGGCGGACAGGAGGGCTTCGGCGGTCATCTTGGGGACCGGGATGGGGCTGGTGGGCTTGTTGATCGTGGCCATTGTGTATTGGGGAAGCTGTAGATGGCTTTCGGAAGGCGAAGGTGGTTGAATGGCTTCTCTTCTGTACTCGCGGCCAGGCTTGAGCAGCTGAGCCGTAGCTATAATATGCTGCTATATGTAGAAGATGGGAACCGGACTGTCAAACGCCGAGAAAGTGGACCTTTGGGAGATGGCGATTGTGTTGGCGGTATACAGTATGGCGAAGGTGACGAGAGGAAAAGCGGAAGGAAGCTCCTGTCTTGTAAAGGATCGAAACGTATGTGAAAGCCGCACCCGATAACGTGACAGCGGCTACGATAGGATGCTGTGTCTAAAGACTGACGACGCAGACTGTATATGGCTCCGTCAACGACGTAGAACGACGTGAATCAAGGCTCATGCTTGTATTTTCCGAGATCGTGGGAAAAGTGCGGAGGATGATCAAGCCCCTAAAGCCAGGCGGAGGAGGATGAAGTAGGTTGAAAAAGGTTGCCTTAACGCTAAGGCAAACGCCGGGACTGCGGATTCGAGGGACTTGCTTGGTATGTTATTGTCGAGGCACGGTAAATGGCACAGCGCCCGACTTGGATCATGAGACTCAGCACAAGGCAGCCCTTAGGGATCGACGTGCTGCGCGGTTTCAGTAGGCTTGTAACAACGGGTCATCGTCGCCACTGCAGATTGACTACTTCCTCCGGATATATCGACTCGGAGAAATTTATCTGGGTGAATCAGGAGGCGCCCCGTAAGATGCGGACAGGTTGAAGCCCAAACTCGGATTGAAGTTTCCTATGCCTCTTTCTCGATTTTCCTCTGCACCGCCGATATGAGCCCGTATTTCTGACTCTGAGGTGAGATTCTGCGCGACCTGAGTACGGTGTAACAGGACTTCGGGTTTGGATCAGCAAGATGCGCGCGAGAAGGCCGAAGGAGCGGACTCTGGTATTGTGTGGAAGAGTGTGCAACGTGACCTTGACCTCAGCCGTAGTAATATGGTGTAGATGAGGCTATCGTCTATTTTCTGTTGGCGCGTATCCGGTAGTGGGTGCGGGAGGCCCCGACGTCAGCAACGGTTCACCAGTCGGCGCCGGCGTTCGTCTCTCACATCCCTGACCACACCACCCCACACCCACCACCACTTGTAACCCTTCCGCTCAGGATACGCTGGTCTTTGCCCTCGTCGATACTTGTTGATGCTTTTACACGGAGATGGCTGCCTTTGCGATCGCCCCTTCCTCTTGTGCGCTGCGAGGGGCCTATTTTCCCCTGGTCGTGCCTGGCATTGCCTCGAGCTCGACAACTCACATCACCCCCATTCCACCACGATAGGGCTTCAAGCAGCTGCGCAGGAGAATCGATGACCTTTCAGATAACGTCCGGGAGGTTCTTGAAGCCTCTTGCGGCGATGGCTCCCTCGTGCGCCACCGCAAGCGTTCCTGCCCATACGCGTCGGATCATGACCTGCGCCGCCTCAAGGACGGTCAGCAGCGAGGCAACGCCTTCATAAGCTCAGCATCACACCTCCGAAGATGCGGTAGGCAATGCTGTTGCCGCTGGAGAGGCTACGGCAACCAGGGCAGACGCTGCTATGGTCGCTCTTGACGCCGACCTCAATCCCTTCACTCAAGCCAAGCCAAGCCCCAACGACCCGCGACTCAACACCAACCCCTCATCCCCACGTACGAGGTAGGCCATTCTCCCTGGATTTCGTTGAGATTATGCGGAGAAGAAACGTCGTTGACAGTTTATAGGGACGCCCGAGTCAGCCTTGCCTGACAGAGGCGAAGCTGCATGAGGCCATCAGGCACAGACTCAGCGGCACAGCTCGAGAGCACCTCTGCGGAAGACTCGACTTCCAGATCTGCAACTCCGACGGCACATAATGCTTCAGGTTGTCTTGCATGAAACGCCTTCCGGCGGCGCTGAACAACACACTTCAGAGCAGTTCGCAACAAGGACATCGACCGGCGACTCCGAGCTTACGGCACCTCATCGTCTCCATTCGGGTTCGTACAACATCCGCAGGACGCCCGGAATCATCGACGCCCTGTCGGCTGGGAAGGGAAGGACTTCAAGTCGCATGCCACACAACTTCTCGTACCTCGCGCCTCCTGCTCGAATGGCATATACGGGAGGCTGTTGTGCAAAAGAGCCTTCGGCGAAACGGGTAGCCTCCTTATAACTGGAAAAGGGAATATCCACAGCAGGTTTCAGATTCGCCGACATATCCAGCACTGGAATGCTGTATGCAATGCCTCTCTTTCGATTGCAGAGAGGCGGCTTGAAGCTCTGTCGCAGCATGACATCCCATCTCTGGTACCACATACACCAATCTCGAGCCTGTGAAGTCGAAGCGCACGGACCACTTTTGGCCTCAGCAAAGACGAAAGGACTTAACGGCTCAATGCTCATCAACTTTGTTGCGGCGCAATTGTCGATGTCTCTCATAATCGCACATACCGCTGAGTCGCGATGGTACAAGACGGTCCGTCGATCGAACTGGCCAAGCCGAGGACAGCAGTAATGTAACAAGCCAGCTTCCGAATCGAGCTTTGGAATCGGGCGCAGGTTTCGATCTTCTTCAATCACGGCCATCGAGATCTCGTCTCTGGCGTCGGTCGCAATCTTGAAGAGTATACCCATCTGGCATACAGACACCGGCGGCGTCTTGTATGGCCATACACATGGCAGTCGTTGGAAGCGAATGTTGTCGATGAGAACATATTCGAGTCATATCTCCGCTACCTCCTGCGATGGACATTGACACGAGTTAAAGCTAGTGGGATCACTACGAATAGCGATGGTATCTCCCATGCTTTGGAGCGGCCAAGGTCTTTGCTTCGCAGCCCAATTGCCGTGGTTGGCGCAGGGAGACTTCCTCTGGCACATGGTTGTGTTGGAGGGAAAACGTCTCATGGGCCCGGTCCGTTCCGAAATCATGGCCAATTTCTCATGCAGTATCGGAGTAACGGTCCTCTTCCGGATCAGGAGGGTTTGGAGATCGACTCCATTCGCGTTCTTAAGTGCGGAGGTGAGGATTGTGTTCTGTCCGACTGCCTCCTTTTTCCTCTTCCTTGTCCTATTTCCACCGTCTCTTAACTTCTTTCGTTTCCGTTTTCTTCTGCTCTCATGCCTTTTCTTATCGGTCTTCTTTTCCATCTTTTCGTCGTGCATCCCATCTGTCATCATCGAGTCCATTTTCGCTATCTCTTTCTGGTTCATTCCCGTCACCGTTTCAATCTCCTCTTGCATTTCCTTTCCTCCCGTTTTCATTTGATCCGTCAACCCGCCCTACCGCTCTCCGAATGTCTTTTGTTGCTTGGAAGGTCCCGATACGGCCTATCCCACGGTAGCCATTGGACCTGAAAGAGATATGGATATGGTTAAGCTTTACCTTGCATCCGGACATCCGCCCCGTCTCATGGATCTATCAGTGAGGATAAACCCTGGAGGGGAGCGGTATGACAGGTCGGGGACCGTCCGGTCCAACTGCGATTCTGCTCCCCGTTCAACCACCGGTACAGATGGATGTCTCCTTCTTTTTCCCCTGGGACATCAACTCGGCATCAGAGCCGCGCACAACGAGCCAGGGTCACATTCTCGAGAAGTCCGTTCTTGGGGCACCGTACGGAAACTCCAGATGCCCATTCCTGTTCTCTTCCCTGAAGCAACCCCGCTCACCCTTGCCATACCATGGTACCAGAAACGGGTCGAAATCTCCGGATCTCACCGTCAGGTACGGCGTCTGCGCCTCATGTCTTTCGCCATCGTGCAGCAAGCCCGGCAGGAGCATGTCGAAGCTCAAGGGGATCCACCTTTCCGAGTTATCCTGTTTGCTCTTGTTGAGGCTGAGGCCCCTCCACCTCACATCACGAAGTGCTTCTTCCTCTCCCCTAAGGCAAATCCACTCTGCGCGGTCCATCGTCGGTGCAGTAATGCTATCGGAGGAGTTTTCTATCGTCCTGAGGCGTCACCGGGCGGTCCGATAGCGGTCTCTAGTCGCATGTTTGTGTGGTTCGGGAAGAGGCTTCGCGCAAGCCTGTGTCACTGTTTGCGTCAAAGTCAGCACCATCGTCAATCCGCTTCCCTTTGGGACATCCGCTTTGCTCCCTTACGGCTTGGTAATTGTTGCGTATCCGCCTTCGCCAAAATCAGCGCTTGCATATGAGCAAACCTCGATCGCATTAGGGTCCGGCACTATGCGCGAGAGCAATATCACCGAACCTCGCCTGTGTTTCCAATTGTGGCACTCAAAGATTCCCGCATTTTTCGAAGCTATGGCCGTTATACATACCGGCATAGACAGCGCAAGTCTCCGATTGAATCTCTCACAGTCTATCGCTCGATCGCTATTGAGGTGGAGCTCCATGCCACTTGTATTCCAGGAGGCGTGTGTGCCGATTGCAAACCCAAGCTTCCACTTTTGCTCCATGGCCACAAATGCTCTGTCTGCGGATAGCCTTTGTCCTCCCGAGGGCCGGTTCTTGTCTGATGCACTGGAAGCGGAAGTCACAGGTTGGTGCACGCCCGGCAAAGTTGCCAAACTTCTTGGGACAGCAAGAGTTCTCATGAGCTACATCTCTGCTTTGAGACAGCGTTCCTTTGGGCTCGACCTATGGTCGTCGCGGTCAATGTGCGAAGTCTTGGCATGGGGTCTCTCGGTGCAGGAGCCACGCTCGTTCGGTATGCTGAGTAGCCTGGTGCGAGTTTCGAAGATGGGATATCCGGAAAGCCTGCCGTCTATCAGCATGATGCCTGTGTCAGTTAGGGCTGGTGGATATGAACCTGGAGCAGTGCTGTTTGCCTGCTAGAAAGCTCATCGGGTGGCTGCCCAAACCTTCGGCCTCCACGGAGGCCCACGAGCAGCGCATATTCTTCCAGTTCAGAGATTCCCTTGCGCCTCTAGACTTCTCCGTACTATGGTCTGTTGCCGCAATCTCATCTTGCGCTAGAGATGCTCTAAGGTCCGCCGGCGAGGGAGGGCCCCACCAAGCTTGCTGCTGCCACTACCCGACCAGCCCTAGAGGGGCCGTGGGTGTGCCGATGTCTCGTCTCGGAGTATGATCTATTCTATCTCTGTTGCAAGCTGGGTATCTCCATAAGCTGCGTCTGGTGCTGACTCCCGGGATGTTGGCGGGGCGCGGGGCGTCTCTTCAACGTCGGTGATGCGGCAAGCGTGCTGAGGGCGAAGTGATCTCTCCGGAACCAGGACCCGTTCTCCATACTGACAATGAGTCTTGCCACCTCTGGATCTTCCTCTCTCTGCGCTACCTGTAGTATCAGCCTCAAAAGTTGTGTCTCCGACGTACTACTGCAGAAGCCCCCGCGTCAACAGCGGCCCTCCTCAGAGTGGAGCAGTCAATCAGCTCAATCGGTACGCTAATATCCGCACCATCAGACATGCCAAAAGACTCCTGTATCGTCGTCGCGCGGCTCCCAGCTGCGTCGTCATTGGTGGTGCGATGGTGTTGTGGCGTGGAGGTCTTGAGTGCGCTAAGACCATGAAGAAGTTCACAGGCGCAAGCCGCCAACTTGCGGCAGCGGAACACCTTCAGTCCAGCCGCCACTACGTGCCAGCTGCAGTGTAACAAATAAACCTCTGTCCAGTGCCAGAGATGCGCAGACGCATCTAACTGGATCAGCTTGTGGTGGCCGGGTCAAAACTCAGCGCTGCTGTGGACGAGGCGGGAGTGCTGCAGGGTAGTAGATGCGCAAACAGCACCCAACAACCTTCCCCGCCCCATGGCCGTGCTACTAGAATTGGTGCACGTCGTGCATTTCCCTCTGGTAAAGCAGTGCGTCGGAGGGAGAATGTATATGGAGATCTGCGAGTGCCAACACTTGTTCAGAGGAAGAGGCCTATTTCAACATGCCGGCCGCAACACCAGGCATACTTTGGCCGTATAGGGGAACCAGCAATAACACTGCTGGATCTTGCTGTGTGTGTTGCCGCAGATATTCTCACGGCGTGTCGGTCATTGTGCCCCTGGCCTCCCAGCGTTGCACGCCGTCCACGCTGGCTCGTCTCGCCGTTGTATAAACAAAGGGAACACGAAGTAGATCGTGCAGACTGCGAGAGGGAGGTTAGGGACACTCCTCTCGTATCGATCATGAACACCACCAGGAGCGAGCCCACTATCCTGCTGTCTCATTTCAGCCATATGGCACAAACGGGCGGCCACCATCCTGGCGCGCTAGAACGCTTCTGGTACCCCTTTCACCGGCCCTCTCCCCGTGCGTCGACCAATCGCCGCTCTCGCCCCGGTTAGCAGCAATATCTTCAGAAAAACACTTTTTTGGCCTATATAAACAACGATTAGGAGCAAACTTTCGCCAATGAACCACAGCAGCGTCTCATCTGCTGTGGGGAGGCCCGCCCTGGCAAGGCGGTTTAGTCTAGCTGTTATTCGCGTTGATTTGATTAAGAACGTTACTGACTTATCGGCAGGAGAGATGTACCCGGGGCTCGCGGTTCGAGTCCCGGGGAACTCTTTTGTTCCTTTTGCATTTTTTTGGCTTTTTACTGGCGGTCACTATGGCATGGGGTGCACAGAGGGCACCACGACGCAAGGACAAGCTTAAGAGGCATGATTTTTGGCCATAATGGATGCCACTATCTCACAGAGTGATTCTGCCTCTATATCCCTGGGAAACTTGGGCAGAGGCGGCGCTGCGGGTGGGCAGCGCTGCGGCGACGCTATGTTTTGGCGGAGTCGAGCGAGAAAGGACACCGCTTCACCATCAGAATCTATACGGCCGCAAAGTCCAGCGTGGATACATGGTATTTTCGATTAAGCGGAAACTCTTGGACAGTCCAGAATAGCCCCTTAAATTTGCGATTCTGAGCTTATATGGTTCTGGAATTTTGCAAGGCGGACGTCGAAGCTGAACACACGGTCGAAAGTACGCTTGGGGCCCATCGACAGTGTCGCGGCAACCACACGAGCTTGCTGCTGCGCAATAGGCACGAAATACATAGGAAGCTCTGCAGCTATGACAACGAGAGTCCAAAGGCCCTCACTCCGTCAAAATCGCGTTTATTGCGGCACATCATATACTCGGATGCAGCACAAGCAACCTTGAAATTCGTCAAAGTGTCTGCGGCGATTCGGCGAAGTTGAAGGGGAACTGCATGGCCATACCCCGACACACAAAGCACAATTGCGATTTGGATCAGCATATAGATCTTCTTGGAGAAAGGGGCCCGAATTGCCATTTTCATGTGCACAAAGTTGCGAAGCGCAGAATGGGTTCCTTCCTCAAGCCAGCTGCGCACCAACAGCGAATATACTCCGGACGGCGACTTAGACATTTCGCCATTCAGAATGAACAGTTGGTTGACAAGGAGAACAACTAGTCCACAACAGACAGCTTGAGACGAGCTCGAAGGATATATTCATACTGTCCTTAAACTCCGACAGTACCAAGTCCGCAACCTGAGAAGTTGGTCCTATGTTGACGTTCGGCGCCACGCTCGTGTAAAGGCTTGAATAATGCTATCTTCGCAGCCACTCATATCTTTGGGGTGAGTGTATGCAGACGATGACGAATGGAAGTCAACTTCAGAGATGGACGGAAGTGGAAGACATCGGATGGGAACCTCGACAGGGCATCACTCGAGCGTGTTCCCGCCCTGCCTATTCGTCGCCTGCAATCATCGCAAAATGCAACTGACTTAGTGGTACCAGCCGATTCTCGACACGTCACAGAGTACCCCAGGAAGATTATCCGTGCGCCCATCTGTCAACGTTCAGACGGCGACCAGCGTGGCGGCACAAGCATACGCTGGCTTCGCATCTTCGAGCAAATGAAGCCGAATCCTTCTCGCCATTGCAAGGTTTGGCGCCTGCTGGCCTAAAATGCTGCGAGGCAGCTGTTTCGCCATCCAGAATGAGCGGAAAACTCTCGAGGCGCTTCAGATGGGCCTGACGTCCTTGCTCCTTCCATGTCCACCGTTCACCGTCAACAACTACACGGCGTCCCCAACAACATCCCCACGCTCCCTATACGGCAGAAATTCAGCCCTTCTGCTATATAAACAGTACAAATTCGATTCTCGTCGCCGGGGGCCTGGCAACCCCCCGGCCTCAGAAGAATTTGGCTGACTGGTTAAATATAGTGATGTCGTCTGCGGGCCCTGCGGGAGGCCGTGGGTTCAAATCCATCACCACTTTTTTGGCGTTCTTTTTGCTCTGCTCGGTGACCCGCGCCGCACTCACTGCGTGGGCGGTGGTATGGGTGCGGAGAGAGGTATGCTGGGAGGGTTGGAGAGAGGCTGGATTGATTTTTTGCACTTGAAATGCTCAGAAAAGGTTGCTTTAGTGCAAGCTCCAGAGAAATCAGCTTGCAAAGACCGCGTCGGGTTCGTGACTGCACGGCGGTCGCTGAGGGGCGCTCAGGAGCCGAAATACGTATTTTTCGCTGGAACTCCTGGGATCAGGTAAAACATCCAAGGGGGACTCCTCATTTTGGAGGGATATTCTGTTTCCTGGTTCCCTCCGGGGTGTCATACATGGTATTCCCCATTCCCGCAGCCAACCTGGTCAAATTCTCCACATTCCAAAAAAGTACTTGCCTCGCAGCGAAGCTGGAAACAGGAACCATTATTTCCAGCACAACAACCGCTGATCGATGGACGAGCAACCCTTCATCAAGCGTTTCATAGGCCTGGGGACAATGCCACTGCATATCAGGAGTTTCGATTCCTGGTTCTGATTGACAAGTCCGCGGTTGGGAGATGGGTACTTCGTATATTCCGCTCGTACGGCCTTCCAGTGTCATGTCTCTCATTACCACTCGATGGTACGCAAATGGACGATTGAGACTGGATCATCGTACCATGGCAGCTCAGTCCAAACGTTCCGTATCGAAGAATCCAGCTCAGCAGATCCTCCGAAGTTACAAGTTACCATCCGAGCTCCTTATCTCAACTTCGCCTTCGACCCAGGAACCTGGAGCCTGGATCCCAAAACGAAATGCACAGCCCATGGGACGATACCGAATGGGACCACCACATCGATTAGATTCAAACTGAGCGCACTTCCGCGCGGCCCGCACCTGGAAAACAGGAGTCGGAAACTTAGCGCGGCAAGCAATACAGTGATATCCTAAGAAGCCCAGACGAATCACACACAAGACGACCTCGACAAGACGACCTCTTGCCTTCAGGATTCGGACTCAAGGAATTATTGCTTCAAGGATGCGCTGTTCCATACCTATCCATCGGGCGTCGTCCACTACTTCATCGACAAGTCCGTCCCTGACCGCAGGCCTCACACCACACATCCAGTCTCGCACACAATGGCGACGGACGGACAAACGCAGCTCGTTCGTCGAATCTGATCGCGCCAATAGCTCTTCCCTCCTAAGGAACTTCAAACGGACAGAGTTACACTTGGCTTGCGACGCCTTCTCACACCAATACGCCTAGAACGAAAACACATGCTCCTGTCAGCCATGCAAGGAAGACCACCGTCACCAACCTCAACGGCAACAACAGTGACTGACAAGAACGACTCACCTATTATCACGGCCAGTAGATACCACAAGTCAAGGCGCATTTCCACCATCACGACAACACATTACACACATCAGGCACGTTATCAGATGAACTGACCCGTTCATTGAAGTTGAGTTCTATCATCTCGAAGGTAGACTACATGTCCAGAGGTTTTGAGTATTCAGAACCCGATTCCTAGACCACTCCCATCGAGTCCCATGAAAATTCGAAAGAAAGGCAGACACATATCAAACAACAATGCCATGGACATTGGTCATGTGTATCTGCAAAGAAGAAAAGGAAAGATCTAGTGAAGATCGAGAAAGAAGAGCGTATCGACGTCGGTGACTGATTCCGAATGCTTGCGATACGAGGCCATGTGGCTAGTCTCTAAAGACGAGGGGCCGTGAAGGTAGCCGGACCAGTTGGGTAACCCGCTGGGAACTGTGGGTACATGATCTGAGGCACAGGCTGCCCAATGACTCCGACTGGGGCGTTTCCTTGCATATTGGCGAGATAGCCCTGGACGAAAGCCGAAGGGATGTGCGCAAAGGGCGTCCATACGAAGCGGTTGGCGCAGGCAAAGAGAGCCTCGATGTCGCGCTGCATCCGTGGCGTAATCATGATGCGGTCTCGGGGGTTGCCGTTGTCGTAGACACCTTGACGAGCGCGGTCGTTCATCATGCTCGAGGCATGGGGCGGGAAGAGCCCATTTGCGCGCGCAGACTCGATCGAGCGGCTGAGCTTCGCAAGATTGTCTGGGGCTGGGAATGCCAGCTCGGTGCCGCAGAGATTCGACTTGCCGTAGTCAGTCTCGGTTACGAACAGTCTGGGCCGGCAATAGGGAGTCTCCTGCATGACTGAGGAGTTCCGGAATTTGGCGATCAAAGCCTCCTTCCCCTGGATCGTCGCGTAGGAAATCTCGGCGGCCTTGCTCGAACGGAAGCCCTTCCATTGCCGGTGTTCGATATTTTCGATGAGCGCGATCATGCCGTTCATGTCCGAAAAGTTCACGAAAGCATAGCCAACGTTGGATCCTGTCTTGAAGTCGATTCGGAGATAAACGAAGTCATAGGTGCCGAAGCAATGCTGGTCCAGGACCTCCTTGAGGGCGAGCTGGCACAGGTGTTAGCGCAAAGAAGGAACGCACTTGAAAAGCCAGAACTCACCCAGTCCATCTTGTTGGGGATGTTACGCAACATGACGGTGGTGCGGACATCGTACCCGTGGACGATGTGGTCGCGGTTGACTCGATTGTGGGAGTCCTGATTCCTTGGGTGAGCCGGAATACGAGGAGTCAGAGCAGAGGCCTCGGGGTTCCCGGAGACGTCACTCCACGGCTTGCAGATCAGCATGATGTTGCCCTGGTTATGGTTAGCATCGGCGTCAAGCTGCGATGAAGAACAACTTACTTGGCCCATGTCAAGCTGCGACTTCGGGAATGTCTGGCCATCAAGCAGATTGACAGCGCGCACCGCGGCGTCCAGGCTTGCGAATTCGACACGGAAGACGAAGGGATCTCGGTTCGTCAGACGCTGGATCGCATGCGTTGGTCCATACTGCTCGCAGAAACGACGCGCGAGATCAATGACTTTGGGGAACTCCTCGAGCATCATGTCATTGTTTGTGGCAATCACCAACTTGACCTGCCCCTCATGAGGATTGGCGGACCTGTCATTTCCAAACTTGGCGACATGGAACTCCCTCTGGGAGATCTGCGAGGCAAGGAAGCCGACATCACGCAGGTACTTCAGCGAGACAGAAGAATCATTGATGTCGTCAAATCGAATGAGGACGTGAATGGTAGACCCTGTAGGCGAGCGTTTCTCGACCTGAAGAGGGACAGCACGATTGAAGATGCCGCTGGTGCACTGATATCTTGTCAGATGTGCTCGAAACAGAGACGAAGAAGTATATCAAGACAAGAAGACTCAAGACCGCGGTGGAGAAGGATGGATCATATGGGAGAGTACATGACTGGGAGACAAGAACAAGATGATGATGGTAATGATGATGATGAATGAGAAAGGGAGGAGGGAGACTTACATCCTTGATGGCCCGTTCGACGGCAGACAAAGCTTGCTCAGGATCGATGAAGCCATCCACCCGGAGATACCTAGACTTGAAGAGAGGGTCGGCCGGATGAATCTCATTGCTGAAGAACTCGACAAGCTTGGTCTGGTTGCTGTTGCCACCATTGCGGACAGCGACCGGCGAGTACTGGGTGACTGTCGTCGTCGGGCTGACGGTTCCAGGAGGCGACGAAGCATAGCCCGCGCTGCCAGGCTGGACCGGGCTGGAGGAGAGAATATACGAAGCCATGCTAGCAGTACAAGGATGTACAAGTGGTAGTACAAGGGAAGTGAAGTGAATGTAAGAGAAGGATGTAGGAGGAGCCTGGAAGATATTTCTCAAGCCAAAGGGATGGACCCAAGAAGGCTCAATGAAGATTGGAAGATGGTGGTTGTCGAAGACGAGAAGATGTCGAGGGTTGGGAGGAGGAAGAAGAAGGAAGGAAGGAGCGGGGGAAAGGAGGGCCCTTTTATATCTCGAGTGAGGAGGACTGGGACGGCCGTTTCCGCCTCTCACCGTCTCGACGGGGAGGCACGACAGAGGGCCAAGAGGCGCGAGCCTTGCCGGATTGGGAGGCGGTGATAGACGTTGGGGCGGTTGGCGATGCAGGAGCGATGGTGTTGAGGAACGCCTGCTCAAAACCCGCTCGACCCCCGACCCCCCGCTATATCCACAACCACCACGCCGATTCGCACCGGAGTAGGACGAAACGATGCGCCGCAGCGAGTTCTACCACCTCCGTCGGAACTTGTAATGGTGTAGCATTCGCCCCGGGCGGTGCAGCCCGTTGCAAGTTCGAAGACATCCTTTCTCGTCGACCCCCCGCGGAACATTCAGCCCTGCTATCGACCCCCTGGTTCCTGCCACCACGCTAGAGCCGCACCAACCTCATTAGCGTCCACCGTTCCACGCCGTCGGGTCGTTTATGGGCTCATTTCACGGCTTGTTCCGGGCCCGGGGGTGCGGGTGGAAGCGAGTGAAGGGCTCAGAAGACGCAGCACGTGATGGAAACAGGGGGTGAGCCCGGTGAGAGAGCGCTGCAGAGCTGGGAGAGGGGAGAAGAAGGCGGTAGAAGGGGGCTCCGCAGCGGAAAAAGCAGCTGGTGAAGCTTGTCAGGCACGGCATGAAACTCCGAAGACTCTCCTTCACCGGAGGAGCCGTTTCTGTACGAATTGTAGGCTGCTCGGAGGGCGCTCAGGCGGCCAGCAGAGTGAGAGAAGCGCTCCCCAAGCAGCGGCGGCAGCGTGAGCAGGGAGAGCGGGCGGAGAAGCCCACCACAAGGCGTCAGAATGGCTGCACAGCATGAAAGAGGGGAGAAATCAAGCTCAGCAACGTCTTCTCCATCGTAGAGTGGCTCGGGGCCGAAGGCTCGCCCTACAGCAGCGGCGGCCGCGGGAGCTGCTCGACCCTGCGGGAAGCCCATCATAGAGTCTCAGGGCGGCAGCACAACATTCCAGAGATGCAATTTGGACATGAGCTGAAGCTCAGCAACACCTCCTCTATCCCAGAATTATTCAGGGGCTGCACATCAGTAGCAGCGGCGGGTCCGCAACGTGTTTTCGAGCAGCATGACCAGCGGTGAGGCGGCGGTGAGGATCGTAGCCGCGGAAGCAGCCTCAGGCTCCCCACAAAGGGCAGAGACACGACAACACAGCGTGAAAATGACTGTGTTGTAGATGGCATAAAGCTCAGCGTATGAATCTCCCTCTCAGGAAACCCCCGGTCAGATCATGTAGATTCAGACTCCGAAAGGACGCAGCGGCAGCAGCATCACGCTTGGAGGCTCAGCATGGAGCTCACGAGCAGCACCCTGAGTAGCTCCACAGGGCCGGAATGCGCAAAACAAGAATGAAATCAGAATCCCCATCTCTCGTTCCCCCAGCAGCGAGAGAGCAGCGAGACAAAGTGCCAGCACCCGGCCTGAAGAACCCTCCAGCGCTTCTCGAGCGCCATGAGCCACGAGCCACGGCGGCTGCGGTTACGCCCAGAGAGCCCGACGTCAAGCCCAGCAGCAACGAGCAAACACCCTCAAAGAGGGCACAGCACGCAGCAACCGCATGAGATGAATTTACAGCCACCGAGGTCTCCATCCGGGCAAGCAGAGACCAGGCCTCACCTACAGCAGGCACCGCATGGGCATGTTTCGACGCGACTGTACCCTCCACGAACTCTTCAGCGTCGTTCCAGGTGCGGGTCACATAGACCGAACAACAACATCTTCCTCTCCCTCGCCTCTCCAGCCAAGTCCGCAGACGATGAGACCTCTTGCCTCCTCGCAGCACCTCTCGCGCCCGCCGATTGATCCGCAGCCGCTGACGCAGCCGCAAAACGCGAGAGCGAGAGCCAGCATCACCAGCGCGATCATCCCGACGAGCGAGTACAAACACAAAGTAACTACGACACGAACACCATCTCCGAATGCAAACCTCCAACCGCTACCCTACCCCGAGCCAAACGCAGCCGGTATGAACCGCAGCCACGCTGGACGGCATCATTCCTTCTTCCTCCGAACCGCGTCTGAAATCACCCCCTCCCATACGACTGCACAATGCCCCTTCGCAGCCCGCAAACTGCATACCTTCGATTTCTTGAGGAGAGGGCGATCGCAAGCCGGAGGATGAGCCGTGAGCGTCCGAGGGTATATCCGCATCCGACGCGAGCTTGAGGGAAAAAGCAGGAGTAGCAAACACAAACACTCTGCTGCGTTCGCGGTCTGATCTGCGCTTGTCCGAGCCAGGTCCGGAATTGGAATTTGGGATACTCTCGGCATAAAGAGGGCATTGTGAAGAGCCGCTTGGACGGCGCTGATATCTTGGTGCGTGCTCCAATTAGGTGCGGAGAATGGAGTACAATACACGTTACACTTTGGAGCTCCGAGCAAGCGACGGAGTACTAGGAATTTACACCTGCGGGGTTTTGAAGCTGTGGAATCTTGTCTCAGCACGGAGACTACCAGTACGACTAATTACTATACATCGGTGCTGCAGAGCGCATGTTTCGCATCGGCGATATCTGAGGGAGTGATGTGATGTGGTTACAGCACTGTTGCATCAAAGCACCGGAATACAAACAGAAATCTTCGCATCTGTATTACAAGTTCCTTAGGGCAAACCGAGCTCGTCCACATCGAATTCCTGCATTAAGGGTTTGCTTCCTCTCCTTTTCTACATCCCCACTCATCCATCGCCTTCCTCCCTCTCGCTTCCTCCTCCCTAACATTCGCAATCTCAACGCTTCCCATCTCTTCCCATATCATACACCCCAATCCGCCAACTCCAAGAATTCCAACAATCCCAACCATTCCGCATTCCCAATACTACCAAACCAATCGGCGCCCGCAGCCCTCCCAGATACCCTTAGTAAGCCACAAAGGGGCCGCCTGGTACTGCAGTCTCGGAGCCAAGATGTCCACACACCCTTGCCGACATGCAAACCATCCCACGCCATCCCGCGAACCGGCGGGGACCCGATCGATTGCGCCACTTATGCGAGTCATTAGGTCCTTTCAGCCCTATGGGAACGAGATGCAATTGTGCATGTGCATGTGTAACCCCGTTGGTGGTGCTGGAGTGTATGACATTGGATTGAGGGAAGTAGGTACGAGCTACGGGTGATGGATGGCGCTGCTGGTGTATGTGCTTGTGCTGCTTCTTGTGCGCGTGTTTGTGGTGGTGGAGGGTTGACGGTGGGAGGTGTTGGGGTCGGGTGCTTGCTTCCGATTCGCCCGCCTTGTTTTGAGCATGGAGCGATTGACGGGAGTTGGGGATTAAGCTGGGGTTACGCACGGCGTAGGTTCTGTATGCTCGTGCGTGCAGTTGCGCATTGTGCGGCCGCGTTGTCGGGGGTGGTGCATGTCGACTATCGGCATCGATGGGGAGCGTGAACGCGGCACCACGCGAAGCCTGTCGCAGATCTTGTTTGGACTTCGCTGCCCAAATCATCCTCCACGAAGCGCTACAGGTGATGGTAATCGGTGGGAAGCAAAAGCAAAAAGGAGGATGGTGCGTACGCGACGATGCGCCGATTTTAATCCCCCTAGAAGCGAAAACGAGCGGGTTGACATGTTTCTTTATTCTCGATTTCCGGGTCCGTGATGAGGTTGCATGAGTTGCGTGGGTGGTGGTGCAGCGGAGATGGTGGAGCAAAAGCTGGAATGCATGTTGGTGAGGCGGATGGTTTGTGCTGAGATCGGGCCTCCTGGTTTCGGACTCCTCATGACAGTGGGGGTGGGAAGGGCGTGGGCTGGGAGAGAGGGAGAGGTTTGGTCAAAGAGTCTGATTCTCGCTGCCTCAAAGTGCAGGCCTGATACCTAGTTGGAGGAGCTGGGAGAAGCTTCAGCCTTTGCCAAGGGGTGAGATGCAGGAGATCGTATCTACACTGCGAGCTACCGTGGACGCTGATATAGATACCTTCAGTGACCGTGGAAAATGTGTACGGCACAGAATTCGGCATTGCAAAACTTGCCATTTCGCCCGAAGAGCTGAGTGCAGCTTCAACGTCCGTAGCAGGTGTAGGTGCAAGATATCGCATCCTACCAGTCAACCCCAATCCTCCCATCACAGCATACCTCAACAACTCCGGCACAGTCTCCAGCACAAGTACTCAATGGTAAAGAATTCCATTTTGCTTACCCACCTCAAACACCAGTTTTTGAACCTAGAAAAGGGGTATAGAACATCCCTCAAAGCAGCAATCATGAGCCCCCGAGCCAAAGAAAGAAACCCAAATGACCTTGAAATACCGAGCCATCACCCTACCAGCAACGCCTACATCTTCGGCCTAGCGTCGCTCTCCGGCTCAAACATCCAGCGGTCGTCGTCCAGGCTGGCGACAATGCGGTTCAGACTGGCCCTGAGCGCTGTCCGGACTTCCTCCATGACACCTGCGGCTGTTAGAATGACGATCCATGATCAGGGGGTCGATCTTACCTTCTTCCAGGTTATTTCCGTGCTGGCCGTAGAGGGCGATGAGTTCATTCTGGCGAGCTACTGCAACGAGGGTCAGTCAATCACGATGCGTCGCTCTGTTCTGCACGAACGAACACGCACTCTCTGGATCCTCGGTCGGGAGGTTGTAGTCTGGGTCGCCGGGTTGGGGAGGAATCAATTCGGGGCTGTTGATGATGATCTCGCCATTGGCATCCCGCTCGACGAGATCATTGTCCGGGTTGTCCTCACGAGTAGCAAAGGGAACTGAACTGGCTCCCGAGCGTTCCGAGTTGTTTCCCGAGTTGGCCTGGTTGTTCTGGCCGCGGCGATGCGAAGTTGAAGCTGCCGTCCTGCGCGAAGCTGGGTGAGCGCGGGCGGGTCGTCGCTGTTGCTGCGGCTGCTGTTGGTCCATGTTGGATACACCGGAATCACTGGAATCACTGGAATCGGCGGTGTCGGCGGAATTAGGCTGAGCGGCTGGAGGCTGAGAACTCTCGTCAACGATCCGGGCGATTTCCTCGTCGAGGCGGCGGATATCCTCGTTGAGGCGGGCAATATCCCGTCGGTAGTTAACAATGGTACGGCGAAGTCGAATTCGAGGATTTGTCACGTAGCGGTGATATCGCAGCAAGGCCCTTGCGGTTTCCGGGCTCGTGAATCTCAGCTGCCTGACGTGCACGGCCAGAGGGGGAGAGTTATTCAGGAAGCTGGTGCGGCCGTGGCGTGCCAGTCTCCATGGAAAAATAATGCGGTTGTGGTCAGGAGGAGTGCCGTCTTCCCCGCCGCCGTCGTCCATTTTTGGCGCAGCGTTCCTGGAACCCGGTAGCGAGAGTGTGGGGTGTGGGGGTGGCGGGTGGCAGAAACCTCCGAACTGGCGTTGGGCAATGCTGCCGATTTGCTGGCTGGGGGGCTTCAGGAGCTACTGGTGCTATGGGCCATTGCGACCGGCGGATCGCATTGCACTTCATGCTTCTCATGCTTCCAAATTCTATCTTCTGGTGAACGAAGCACAATGTCTGTCCTTCACCTCGTTGGGGTTGTACCGCCATTTGTTCAGGGGTCCCGGACGGCTGGGAACACCACCAACACAAGCTTCCGAGCTCCCCTGGACGCCCGCCCATTGTCCACCACTTCACATCATCGACGGCATCTCAGAGCATTGCGGTAATTGGCCTCCTGCGCTGTTATTCTTCGCCTCTTTCTTGCCACTACCATCCGGTGTTAGACAACACTCCTCCATCGAGAAACCAAGGAGTGACCGGCACGAACGCTAGCCCTTCTCCGTTCCGCCCCATCTCAGCGACCCAACCTCGATCCTAAGGAGTGTCCGTCACCATGTCAGACGACGACCGCCGCAGTCCCACCCCTCCACGGAAACGGCGCAAGATCAACAGCAACAGCAACCTCCCTGCAAAGCCTCCTGCGCCATCAAACCGTCTCCCTGCACTCCCTCCAACTCCCCCACTTCCTACATCTCAAACCGGGAGCTATGCGCCTCAACAACTCAATGTGGCACAACCGCAAATCTTCCGCTTCCCCATCGAGCCCCTGAACCGCTTCCAGGGCACCTCAACCACCATCAAGCGTCCGCGCGAAATCGCACATTTCTCCTACAATGAGAACCACGAGTACCGCCAGGACGAGTCCGGGATATGCTATTACCATATCCCCGAGATGGGAGCGGATCTGTGCGAAGGGTTCGATACGTTTAGGCACTACGAGGATAAAGAAGATCCGCATCTGGATAGCCTGCTGAAGGCGCTGGTGGCCAAGGAGAAGGAGACGGGGGAGAAGCTGGAGGCGGATTTTGTTACGTGGAGGGGGATGATGACGAAGGTGCGTTATATTATAAGAGAACGAGATGCTCTCCAAATTCCACACCTTAAAGCAGAGGTTTACGGATGAAAGTTGAGCCACGGACCCAGAGCTAATAACCCATAGATCATGACAGCCCCATACGACATGTTCGCCGAATTCAACATGCTCGCCACCCTCTACGACAACACCATCTTCATCGAGGAGGACTTTTCCGCCAAATCCGCCGAGCGCGCCGCCGAAGCGTCCCAGTCGTCGCACTCTCGCACCGCCTCCAGACCGCCGCATCCCGATCAGCCATCGCGAGAAATGATGACCTACTGGGGCTATAAATTCGAAACGCTGTGCATGCTCCCCGAACCCGTTACACCTAGCACGCCGAGAGAAGTCCTCGCGGCAAGGAGAACGGCGCCCGTGTCCAACTACGCACAGCACTGCTCCATTGTCCGCACGGGCATCGGGTCGCACACGCTCATCCTCGGCGGCGAGGTCGACGGTTTACTAGCACCAAAAACCCCCTCCACGTCGACTTCGGCTGCAGACGCCCCTCCAATCCCCTGGGTCGAGCTGAAAACCTCGGAGCAGCTCCCGCCCCACCCGACGCGCCGCGACCTCGTCCGGTACGAGCGCAAGTTGCTCAAATTCTGGGCGCAGAGTTTTTTGTTAGGGGTCGAGAAGGTGGTTGTCGGGTTCAGGAGTAAGGCGGGGATACTGAAGGGGTTGGATGTGTATGAGACGGCGAGGATTCCGGGGATGGTGAGGAGGGGGACGAGGTGTTGGGATGGGAATGTTTGTGTGAATTTTGCGGCGGGTTTTTTGGGGTGGTTGAGGGGGGTGGTATTGGAGGAGGCCGGGAGGGGAGGGGGAGGGGTGTGGAGGGTTAGGTTGAGGAGGAGGGGGGGTGTGGTTGAGGTGCAGAGGGTGGAAGGGAGTTTTGGAGAGGGGAAGGGCAGAATGGGAGGGATTGTGAGTAGGGAGTTTTTGGAGTGGAGGGAAGGGTGGAAAGCAAGTGGAGACAGGGAGGAGAGAGGGGAAGATGGCGAACGAGGTGCTGGGGAGGCTGAGACGGGAAAAGGGGCAGAGGTGGAGGTGGAGGATGCGAAGGGCGCGGCGAAGGGCGAAGGGGGAGTGGAGAATACGGGGAGGACGGAGGAGGGACGATTACTGGACGGGAAGGTCACTGGTCCTTGAAGATCGTAAATGTCCATGTAGTATTGGACGATGTGTGCAGAATGACGAATATACCATAGATCTGCCTGACACGCAACTTGTACCACGCGTCCGTGAATGTGATACTCGGGATCCTGCTCATCGATTCTGCCCCATTCCGCACAATCCGTCGTCCACATGTCGGTATACCACCGGTGCGTTCAAGGTGGTTACTTACATGTTAGGGTATCATCCATCCATCCATCTGGCCATCCGTCTATCCATGGTTCCCCGTCTGATGTTGCGACTGCCAGTGATGCACCTGCGATAATTCCCTCTCAACGACCGGAGGCAGGACGTGATGAGTAGGCTAGTCCAACTAAACGCGGGAGTTATGCTGCTGTACCATTGTTGACGGAATTAAACGTTTATTTCTTTAAACGTAGAATCCCTCCTCCCTATCCTTACTTAATAGAGAGTTGTCACACGGGGCGCTTGCAGCAGAATTGTCTATTTAACAACGAAGCTAACGAGGTAGAATAGATGGGTTTAAGGTTATGACAGAAGCCTAGGTAGCTGGGTGTGTCTAGCTACGTATTCTGAAGACCCATGTTTCCGTTTCCTGCTTCGCATCCTCGGCCGGGCGGGGGCGAGAAGCGGGAGAGGGAGAGGGAGAGGGAGAGAGGAGAGAGGACACACTGAAATGACAAGATGGTGGGTTGTATTGTCCCCAATTCCAAGTCCATCTCAACTTCATAGAATCGGTAAATACAGTGGTAACAACCTTGCGCACTTCCAGGGAGGAAGAAACAACGGCGGTTGGTTAGTTGATTAAGTAGGTCGATAGGACTACATTCCTCGTAATCGCAGGTGTATATAAGCGTACATGTCAACAGGAAAACGAGAGTTAAGAATGGAAAACGGGCGCTGTACTACTCCTCCCCTACCCCCCTCCCGCTCCACTCCTACCTATTTACTAAGCTCGAGATGCTTGGTCGTCTAGACCCGCTTCTTCCCCTTCCTCCATTAAACCGGTAGGCTATAGCTAACGCAGTAGTAATCTCTCCTCCCCCCTAGGCTATCTACCTTCATGAAAGGATAGGCGGCATTTCGAATTCTTCGAAGGAAGCTCTTCACTTTGAAAGGCACTGGGAGGGAGATTGCGCTGCAGGTGGGTAATGTACTCCGTATCGTCGGGCTGGTGTTACATAGGATAGGAGATGGGGGAGGGGAGGCGAGGAAGACGAAATGTATAGCAAAAGGAAGCAAGCCACGAAATAGGGTAAGGGGTAACGCGGTCTTCTTCTTCATATGTAAACGTGGAGGAAGGAAAGCGGACTAAGTTGAGGACTAAGTTGCGGAACTACGTTGATGTAAAAAATCCGTCCATCTCTGCCCTTCCAGCTGCTCGCCTACAGTTCGACTTCGGTGTCACACTCTCGCACAAACACCACAGGGACGCAAAGTTCGACTACCTTGAAACCGGTCGTGCAAACCCTCGCGTATCCTTTCTACAAGACATTTCTGAACCTCCTCGATCTCGTTTCCCACCACCTAGCTCAGCCTAACATTAAGGCCGCACACCTCCTCAACATGTGCCGCAATGTCAGGAAAAGTCGGCCATTCCCTTCCCATACCCGCCGTCCCTCTTACGACGTCAAACTCCAACGCAAGTAACTCATCGGAATCACTCACTCTTCTCACTCAAAATCCTGCATATACCAGACCCGCATTGAAAACGATGGGAGATGCGGCGATACAGACGCACGTGACTAGCCTTTCCTGCGGGCAATCACAGTCACAGTCACAGTCACAGTACTGGGCAAGTGTCATATGCTGTGCAACAACCAAGTCATTCGTGCGTACGCGTGCGTGCTCCGTACTCGCACGTTGATCTCTGTGGTGCGAATCTATGTCTGTGCGCGGAACGCTGCATGTATGCTGTGGAGCTGTGGAGCTGTGGACGGGGAGCAGTGGAGCTGTACTGTGATACCGTCACTCCCACGTTGGCGGCAGTGCGGAGATCCATAGGGCACCTATCTATAGGGTACGGTCGACGAGGTCTATTTTATCGAATGTCACCTTTTAGGTCCCTCCTTCTGCATCTCCGCAATAGAGCAGAATCGAAAGGGATTACTGGAGAGAGAGAGAGGGGGGAGAGAAAAAAAAGAAAAAGAAAAGTGGAATTTACCGTTTCCGATTCAATACTTGTATAGAAATATGTCACTACTATGGTATACATGAATGTGCTAGGGAGACGCTTTATTATATTACCGGGCGGAAAAGACACTTCAAAGTACAATAGATTGTACAAGCTATGAAAACACGAAACCCTTCCCGCATCGATTGCCCTTCCTTCCCTCAATCAAAGCCCATGTACAACCAAGAATCTTTCCCAGTCATCTTCCTCCTTCCCTCTTCCTTTCCCACCGACCAATCAAAATAAGACAAAAGAATTAATAATTCACTCCACAAGCAACACAGGCAGGCAAATGCACGCATCTGCAGCCTACCTACCCTTCATGCAGCCTACCTGCATGCCAGCCTGCCAGCACCGTGACCGTGAAACGTGACCGTGACAATGGCTGCATAACGTGCGTCAAGAAACGAATCCCTTACCCCATCCTCCCCACCTCGTCCTCTTTCTCCGATAGTAGTCGTAAGGCTCAACGACAGTATCGCCCATGTGCCTGCCGCGCCGGGCAAGTGGTCTGATGAATGTTCGTATATGGGCAGCAGCAACACAGATTGATGGCCACAATCAAGGGGGAGGCTGGAGAGCACCGGCAACCCTCCTTTTTGCCCTTGTTAGGTAGAAACCCGCAAAAGTGCCTCTGCGAGTACTGTGTACAACCCAGGCAACTCGGGATATCAAGCTCCGTCGACAAAGGCGGAAGTGGGCTTCAGGTTGAGTGGGCAAATCAAAAAAGCACATAGGCTAAAAACTTATAATTAGTAGTACAGTCGTAAAATCGTGCCATTTTCAGAGACGAGACAATAATCACGTGCAAGTCTTTTATGAATTGTGAATTTTTTTTTTCTTTCCTCGCGAGGCTGTCCTTTGGACGAGCCAAAGTCTCTACCCAAGTCCACCCATCTCAACAAAGTTAGGATGCCTCCATTACAACCAAGCTTTGACCGGCCAAAGGTACCAAATAACAAAGGAACTGGTCGATACGAGAGCCTCCAAAGGCAATGAACGGAACCCTTGCAAAAGTTTTCTCCTTGTCCCCAGTCGCATCGATGCGACAAATCTGCCAGCGAAGGCGATACAGAAACATGCCCAAAACAACTCCAACTCCGAAACGCCCCTCTCTTCTCCCAACGCATGCGACGCGCTTGTCGACGAGGACAATCAAAACTCCAACCCTTGGCCGTGCCGCTGGTATTCAGGGTATCATTGTGACCTCCGATCTGGGCCGTTGCTCGTCACGGTGGTATGCGTATTACTAGAATCATGTATGCCGAAGTCGAAAGGAAAGTGATGGATTTGTCTACTCGATGGTGCTTGCCCTTTATATTATATTGAGATAACACAGAAGGACGGACTAATAGTGATACCCTCCGGGATGGGGCTTCGATTGTGCAATGAGCTTTTGGTCGGGGGTGTAAAAGTCTTGAGGCTGGGCGGGCTGACTGTATGAAGGCTGTGTTTGGGCCTGGCTATAGGGCTGTGGATTGACACTGACTGATCCCCTCCCGTGCGAGTCGTGCTGCTGAAACGAGCTGTGAGCCGGCTGCGATGAAGCGTGAGGCTGGACTTGAACAGGCATGTCGTAGGCTTGCGCTTGCGGCATCGTGTATTGCGACGGCTGAGCCAACGGCATGGGCCCAGGTGCTGAATAGGATGAAGGGGTGTGCGGGTCGGCATATGTCGGTGTGGAGATTACGGACGTGAATTGCTGTGTCGCTGGTGGCGGGGATTGGTAGTGAGACGTAGGGCTGGGGCCTTGACTGGGTTGGGTGGAGTAGTGCTGGGTGGGTGGTCCTTGGGGAGCAGGATACGCCAACGACGAGGGTTGCTGGGGATAGGTCTGGTTGGAGGGAGGTTGAGGATACTGGCGGACGGCCGGTGCTGGCGCCTGATATTGGGCGACGGGCGGTTGCTGCAGCGGATAGTCGGACGGGACTGGCCGCATGGGGTTCTGCTGGACAGGATAGTCTTGAGTTACCTGTTGTGCATACGGCGATGTGAGGGTCGAGGTCGAGGCGTAATTTCGAGGGGTCTGCTGAGATGGCGTGTATTGCTGGACATGACTTGCCGCCCAGTACTCTGAAGGGGCGGCCATATTGACGGGCGAATGCGTCTGTGTTTGGGTCTCAACGGCAAGACGATGAGCGGGAGCGGAAGGCTGAGCAAAACTCGCTGGCTGAGTCTGAGGATAGCCGCCGTATACGGGGCTATCGCGGCTCTCTTCATCCTCGAGGCTGACTTTCCAGCCATCCAGCAACTCTGGGCGGGGCTGAATGTCGGCCAGGTTCGGATCCTCGCAAGGACGCTTCAGCTTCCCTTCGACAACATCCTCCAACGTGTAGTACGAGATGACGTGGTGGTGGGTCCCCTGGTACTTGACCGAGATGGTCTTCTTCATCAACCCGCCCTCCTTGAACTCGTAGCTGTCAATGAGCGAGCCGCAGAAGCGGCGTTGTTGCTCCGGAGTCAGTCTTTGGGCGAAGTTGGCATACACCTTGTCGAGCGGATCCAAGGAGTTCTCCTCGGCGGCAACTTCCATGGTCGCATGCTCGTACTCGTCTTCGGCCACATGTACGATTTCGCCGTTGCTGTTGATGGCAGGAGTTGCACTCTCTTTCCGCTTCCGCTTGTTTCCACAGGAGGGATTCAAAGCCGACTTCTTCTCATCGGGACGCAGGGCCCGTGTGAGCTGACGGTAGATGAGGCAGTTGTTCATGACCCGACTGGGTGACCAGTGTACGGCGTCTGTCCATCGTTTGATGCCAGAGGCGTTTTCCTCGTAGACCAGCACGGTGCCTGAAGTGAGCATCTCGGCTCTTTCCTTGTCGTGCGGCCGCCGGCTGATGTGATTGAGGCGGCCCTGCAATGCGGCCTCGACGATGGTCATGGCATCTCTGGTCGTGTCCAGGAAGCCGTGCCATGTCGGTTTGAAGGCGGGTTGAGCCTTGATCAGACTCCCAGAGACTTGCGAATGCTGCCTCGCTGGGGGTGGAGTGGGCGTCTGCGCATGCGAGACGGGGGAGGAAGTGGCTACATGGGAGCCCGGAATGGAGTGATGGCGAGGTGGCAGGCTGTGCGGGAGGTGGTGTGCGCCGGGTGTCGTCGAGCTGTACAAGGACTGGTCGAAGATGGGACCATAGCCTTGTGCCAGGCTGCCTGGTTGGGACGTGGCCCAACTCCAGGGATCAACGTCACCATAGCTCTCCATCTTTTGGACGCCTGTGAGTGACAGACTGTGTCCAAAGGAAGGCACCGTCAAGGTCGACGCTCGGATACCTTGTAACATTGGGGACCGATTGTACGTTTTGGGTCGGGAGAGACCAACGAGAAAGCAACAGACGGCCTTGGTAAATGCGGTTAGATGGTTGTTATTGCTTCTGGTGCATGGAAGCGGTAAAGATGACCAGATTCGATCCGGTTAGGGCTTGTCGTGAGGCTCCCTAAGGAAAGGTGGTAGATGACAGGCTCTCGGCAAACAACCAAGAAGCGAACGATGGGTTGAAAGTGAGGGAAAAGCGCTGCGCTTTAAGAGAAAGGGCAGGTGCGGCAAAGAAAGTGCACGAAACTGGACGAAACATCAGTACTCGCCGGTCTTGAGAGCGATATGATGGGCCACATGGCACGAATCCGTAGTGCAGAAGGAAACACTCACCGAATGCTCAACCAAAGAGGAACTTGGCCTCGAGCACACACGACCGAGTGCAGAGGGCAACTGGAGAGGTATGGCGATCAGAGAGGGTTGAAAGCGGGGGTGTTGAGTGTTGAGGGGTGACGCTTCCAAAACACTGGGGATGCAGCTTAGTCAGTGAAGTCGGGAAGAAGACGGCCTGGCGAAGCGGAGATGTCCGGAGTTTTGGGTCTGGAAGATCAGAGCGAACTCTGGCAAGAGCCAAGGCAATTGATGAACAGGGAGAGCGATTGGTGCTCTATTCGACGCAACTCGAGAAAAGTGGCATGCGAAGCAGCGAGAAGGCAGAGAGACGGAACGTGAGAAATGTCGAGGCAGAGGGAGGGAGGTGTGCGGTGGTACAGTAGAGATTGGCAGGGTCGGATGTACCAGCGTTGGGAGACGGCGATATTTGGTCGCGATATTGGCCGGGACAGGGCAGGGCAAGCGGAAGCGGAATGCACAGCAAGCAGCGTTCCTGGGCGGTAGTCGGAGTATTAAGGGGATGAGGGGAAGGATGTCAAGCGAAAGCGACGGGCGAGGCGAAGGTGGTGAGGGAGTTGGCAGACAGCAACAACAGAGAGGACGAGGATTTTAGCAGTCGAGGGAAAAAAGATGATAGGGTGCGAGTGAGGGACTATTGGGGGGAACAGGCCAACTGGATAGCCATAGCTCTCCCTGCCGGGCAAGCCGGTGCAGGTGGTGGTGATGGGGCTATACCGCAAAGGGCATGGGCAGCTCTTCTGGGGGAAGTCGGGATGAGTTGTCCGTCCCAGGACTTGCCTCAGCGGGCATGGCCGGCAAGCAGCACAAGCACTGCCATGGCCCCATGGCCGCCATGGGGTCTAGCCCTGGGGAAGGGGCGATCACGCACAAGTGAGCGACTCGTCGGCCGTCGTTGGGTTCCGGGTTCGTCTGGCGCATCAGCGGCGGGCACACAAGGACGCCAGCTACCTGGACGGCGGTTTGACATGAGGCTTGGGTGGGGGATTATTGGGATTGCTGGCGTGTTGGTTTTCCACGGCGAGCCAACATGGCGTCCGGGTGGGAAAAAGACGAGTTTCACGAGGCCAGAGGCCACCTTGTTGTTGGAAGCTCGACCCGTGGCTTTTTTCTGCTGTGGCTTTTTTTTCTCCTCTCATTGGCAGCACGCGCGCGCCGGGGGCATGGGCATGGGCGAGGGACATGGGCCGTCTGATGAAGCACAGGTGCGGAGAAGGCTGCAAAACAGAGGCACAGACGCAGACGCAGACACACTCCACCCAAGACAGCCGCGGGCATCGGATGCCAAGAGACTGTGCTGCGGGCTTCTGTGCGCCGGCAGGGTACAGGGCCAAAGGGACCGCAAATGGCAACAAATCATCGAGTCGAGCGACGAGGGACGACTGAAGGGGACATCGGACGGATTTTGTTGTAGGAGTGTGTGCGTTGTTGGAAGAGGAAGAAGGTAAGAAAAGGAAAGAGGAGGGTCGTTACGATCATCAGATAAGCCAAGGTTGCACACACACGACGGAAGGTCGCAACCGCCCTTGTTGCGTCGTTCCTTTGTCGACTTCTTTCCATCTCATGTCCCTCCACAAGTCAACACGGGATATTGGAACAGTCATAAACTCGTCTCTCCCTCACCCCTCTTTTTGCCCTTTCCGACACATCTCCAGAGTAACACATCGAAAAGACGTCGACGGATCCACCTTGTACCGCAGGGCCGCCTGGCACATGCTCCAGGAGCCGATAGTCGACACACGCCACACTCGACCCAGTTTGCCAACGGGGCCAGAATTGCAAGTTGCAAGTTGCAAGTTGCAACGGCTCGGGGGAAGCAGCACAGCAACCGGCATGGGACAGGGCCGGCTCTGCACCGTGCAGCCGCGCGAGCGAGCGGCCCTCTGCAGCAGTGCAGCTTCATCACACACTCACACTTCTTCCTCTCATCCACCATTCACGACGCCGAAGAAATCCACACAATCCATCGACCATTATCATTACCAATTCTTCGCCGTTCATCACCGCTCGTCGGTAGTCTCCGTTGGCACCGCACAAGAAGCCTAATATTCACCCACCGGCTCTGGTCATGGACGCTGGTTGATGGAGACGGAGAAGAAAGGGTCCAGAGCCTTGATTGGCCATTGGACGAGTTGGCCAATGAGAATGGCCGTGGGCCTCGTCGGACCATCTGGACCATCCCATCTCGGACCCGTCGGTTCATGTTGGGCCAGTTGCGACCCTCCCGAAGCCGAACCCGCGTCGGCTCCCCTTTCCTCGCCCATTCCCCAACAAGCCTTATTGGTACCTGCACCTTTGCTCATCAAGTCCTTTTCATCAGCAAATGCACCATTCCCACCTGGACGTTGAACATGAATTCACCCTCTCCCTACCTACGTCTCCGCCAACAAGTTTCTCCCATGGATCAGCAAAAAGCGACGTCGTCATTATGGTGGTGGTTCGGGTGGGTAACCGGTGGGGTACGGGCAAAGACTGGCACAGACCGCACAGGCCAACAAGCTAGCTGCGGTGCTCGTGCATTCGAGCACACATCGTGCAGGGACCGATTGATGGGATTGATGGGGCACCTGGGAGGGAGGGTCATGGTCTGTGTCCGCCTGCGCCTGCTGTGGCACGGACCGCTCAACGCTCCCTGACATCGAGAGACTTGGGCCAGCGGATGAGGACCGCAGTTCCCCTCTCCCCGCTCACCCACTTGATTCGCTCGGTTAGCCTGATGATTTTCCTCCGCCGTGCCAAATTTCCATGGGAGCCAGCTAACCACCAGAACACGGGCCTCTCTGTCTTGACGTCGATCCAATTGTTCCCTGACCAGAGTTCGAGTCCAAGTTCGACCCTCGAGCCTATTTTTACCTTTTTCTCGCTGCTGAAACCTCTATCTTGGTACATCTTCACACTCGGGCGCGCACGACTCGGCCACCAACTGACTTCATCTGGGAGACAACAGCCATGGCAAACATCATCTCTCGTTCCACAACCACCAGCCCTCGGGCACCAGTATTCTATTAGGTACCACTTTTCTACCTTCCAATATGTGGTTAGATTGGCCTCCCGCTAGCATCCCGGAGATTGCCAGATGCCATTTGTCCACCGTCGACAAATCTGGATTTCACGACACCACTTTTTTCGGTGGGGAGACGGCACGCACGTCCCACAAAGCGCCCCCTCGCACCTTCCCTTTGTTCCCTCATCGACTGTGCCTCTCTTCCAAGGTTCCCTCTTCCCGACTGCTCTGCACAAAGATGCCAGAACCGCCCGCACCCGCTCCATCTCCGTTCCAGCGCAGAGGTTGTGCGAGGGAGAACCATGGCCTCGGGGTCACCGTTGGTGGCCTGCTACCCGTCCTCTGCAAAGTTTAAACCAACCTCCGTCCTGGGCCTCCCGTCCGAGTCCCATCGGAGACCAGATCGAGGCAATCGACTTACAGTGCGCCTCACGACGATCAGACAATCATAGACAGAGCGTCTTAATGAGCGCTTCGATCCCTGCATTGTGGTGGAGATGCATATCACTTGTGGCGCACATCGCTCAGCTCTTCAGCCAAAACCTCTAGTCCATTCTACCGCGAGAGCACCCGAACATGGACACAGCCATCAGTGACTGACTTGTCCCGTTTGCATCGCCTTGTCCTGACATGCACATGCGTGTCGGGGTTGAGAGTGACTGGCACGGCGTTTTGTGTCTTGTGTGCAGTGTCAGAGTCCGCCTTCTGGTTTCAAAGGGACCTTCATCTTTCGTCACCCGAGGATGCACCCCAGCTGTCACATTTTCCTCCGCATGAGCAGCGCCCGCTTCGCTTTGCACGAAACGTTTATGGAGTGAAGATGTGTTTGTTGCTGCAACTCCGGCACGACTGGGATTGTCCAATCCAAGTGATCCCCAGTGGGCCTCGTCTCACGAGCATCGCCTCTTGACACGCTTCAAGGTCGCCGACTACCTCCAGCTTGCGTGCGCACCTACTCTACTGTTCCCTCTATATAGAAACCACGCATCCGTTGATCCAACGGGTTTCAAGTGGGGAGATCCATTGACCTGTTCAAACAGCCACTCTTTTTCTCCCTCCCATGCTGTTCCAAGCCATCCAGCCCTGGAAGTCAAGAAGTGTATGAGTGCCTTTGGGCTTTTCTGCTCCTCGCCTGTGAGAGTTGCATCGATCATCAGTAGCACTGTGGACCTGAGCTCCACACGCCTTCAAACAGGGACTAATCGCCTAGTGAAGTCTAGACGTCGTGCTTGTTGCTAGCTATGAGGGCTTGTAGGTAGGGACACTGTAGACGTACAGGATGGGTGTTTATGTATTGAATGCGTCCATAGTATTTTTTTTCGTTGCTCTTTCTTATTTACCTCTCCCTCTTCTTCGCTTTTTCTATTGCTCCCCTAAGCACACATCTGATAATCGGTAAGTCTTGTCTTTGACTACATGGCAGGGAATGCATCCTAGGCCCTTTTTACCCCTTTTTTTCTTTTTTTCTTTTTTCTTTCCTCTCTCTCTTTTCTTGCCTTTAGTTTTGTTTGACGTATTGCTGTTATTATCCTTTAATACTAGACGACCAATCTACCGCCTTTCTAACAGGACTATGCCGCACATTACGTTGCTCATAAGTGTTATTGCGTCCAGAGTACCGCGTCAACAAGAGAAGATAGAATTAAGGAGGATTAGGGCAGAAGGAGATTCGAGGACGGAAAAAAAGAGTAGAGCTGAGCGAGTGGAAGCAATAATTGGCAAGATCAAAGACGTGTTGCGGAGAAGAAAGGGATATGGTTTTGCTGACGGCCGGACGCATGTAAAGACAATACTGATTGGTATATTGCTAACGAAAAAGTCAACCCGGGGGCCAACGACCATGAATTGCCCATCTGTTGCCATACCCTTTCTTCCATTAGCCTTCTCTGGAAGCAGAAGCCTTGAGCAAGACGAATTCCAGCAGACTGGCAACAAAGAGGGGTGCGTCGACGGATAGGTAAGTCACGGTTGTAGAAAGGTTAGGGAATCAAGTACAACCGTTGAACACCGCACGTTTCTCGCTATCATCAGGGAGTCGGCAAAGTCCATCCATCCATCCATTCATGAATGACTGAATGCACCGCCTTTACCACTCCTCCACTGGTCAACAATAAACTCCTCAGCAGTGAGGGAGAGGGCCTGAAGAGATCGATTAACCGCTGCACACCATACATGACCAGCCATCGATATACGACCGGCAGTTAGGCCAGGGCAACTTACTCGACCAAGAAACATATTTCCCATTGGCCAGCGCAACCCAATCGCCAGCGCCCCTACCGCTGGCAATCTTCGCCCAACCCCTATTTCCCACTCGTCAGCACTGTCATCTCCTCCCAAGATCCATAAATTGACATGGGAAGAAATGACTGAGAAGAAACGAAAAGAAGCAAGAAAAAAAAACTTACTTGTCGCCCTCAATCGTCTCGGTGTTGGTCCGCGTGTAGCACGACAGGCTGATGCGCGTGCCCTTTGCGAATTGGCCCGGGGCGGAGCAGCTGGTCTTGGGGCAGGTGCGGTAGCGCAGGCCGTCGACGACGACGGTCGCGCTGACGGCGCGTTTCTCGAGGGTGCCGTCGCGGGCGACGAGGGGCGCGACGGTGGGTTCCTGGGCGAGGGCGAGGGGCGCCAGCACGAGGGCGAGGGCGGCGGTGGTGAACTTCATTTTGGTGGTGGTGGTGGTGGTGGTGGTGGTCGGTGAATGCGTCGATGAGGATGAGTATTGGATGGTGCTGCTGGTGATGGGAGTTTACGTGCTGCTGGTGAAGAAGAAGAGGGCTTCAGAGGTGGAGGTTGAGGGGGTATTTGTATTCGTCCGTCATCATGGCAATTCTGCCTCGACGAAGCCGGATCAAAAGGTGAACGGGGCATGTCGGTCCTGCGTATTTCGTATTTGGCTGTGGGGTAACACGATGGGGTAGTCTGATATTGACATTCTCGTAACCGTGGTAAGGGCCAGGTCGGCAGGTGGTAGATTGACTTGCCCTCTCGTTACCATCTGTGCTACCTCGACTGCACAACTTGGGTGACACGGAACCGCACACGCACCATGAAACATGAGTTAGGATAATAGTAAGAAAGCTGGTGTTCTAAGCCTGCTCTTTCTTAACGCTGCTGGAATTCTGAAAGGTCTCTCACTGGAAATCTAGCTGTTAGTGTGGAAGAAACGTACTTCGTGCACGTTGAAAAGCCAAGGATAAACATTCACGGTCCCCCGCCAAGCAAAGCCGCGCCCCTCTACCGACCACCGACCCATCTCTTATTTAATTAAATCCTAGGCCAACAACCAAACAACCCGCCCATCATCAGCCGCATCCCCCATCGCCAAAGAGCCTCATCATCAAAAGGTCCCCGGATCAGAGGTACGCATTCGTCCTAGTGTAGTCCTAAATCAGGCGACAACGTATATTGAGTAACCATTCCCCAGCTCCTCGCAGGCCTACAGGACCAACGGGTTAATAAGCCTCGTTTTACGAGAGTAAGCTATACCGTAGCGCAATACAAATACTTATAACCCTTAGGAAATACGACGTTCCGGTGAACAAGGTGAGCAAATACAACGTCGAAATTCCCCTCAGCAACACGAACGAACTCCACCGGCTGGGAAATTAAAGCTGAAATGTCTCACCGACCCGGCTTACCAGAGTTCTGCTATATATGGTAGCGACTTCATCTAACACAGTACGCCATCTGGGGGATGCGAGGAAAGCGATACTGGAGTTGGAATAATGAGGTGGGCTTCTGTGGATACGAAAATAAACAGTCTGTCGAAGCAATTGCCCTTTTATAATTATCCGTACCGGAGATTCCTCTCAGAATCCATCCATCATCCATCAGACCCATCCTCAGGCGCCTTCGAGAAACGTCCTTTTTCCTCTCCATCATCTTTCCCAACAGTTCAAATCTTTTTTCCACCGGCACTCCTTCGCAGGTTTAACCATTCCGTCGGCATCATCAACAACAACAACAAACAACTCTCCAACTTCATCCCAAGGTTCGAATCGTGAGAGATTTCGCATCAGAATCCTTCGTCAACTACACGCTCCCCCCACCCCCTTCTCTCTTCCGTATTTGCACTCTGCCCAACCATTCCCCGAATCGGTCAATGAGTAGTAGCGTCTGAAGTTCACCTGCTCTTCTATTATACTACAGTCCACTAGGCCTCTCTCTTCCCAGGGCAGTCGAGATGCAATGCACCACCATTCCATCACTGCCCCAGACATAATAATTCCTTCTCCTCCCTCCCTTCTCCAAGGGTTCCTACCGCAGCAGCAGCAGCGATGCTCGCAAAACTCGCGACAATTGTACTCTGCGGAGAAAGGAAGCAGACGTCGTGAACTGTAGAATAATAAGAGCTGGAGCGCGGCGATGTGGAGGGAAGTTGTCCTGGTGGTTGACGGAAAGCCGTTGATTGTGAAAAGGTAGGGTTCTTTCTTCGAAGTGGATTTTATTACCAGAGTTTTTCGGTCTGTTGGAATGATAAACGCGTAGCTGTGTGCAAGAAACTAACTGCATCACGCGGATACATAGTACTTATAAGCACCTGGCAAAGCGAACATCCCCAAGGACCCCTACTAATAAAACGTTTCTGATTATACAGCTCAAACTCACGAGGCCAAACAGACCGACTCGTGCTCTTGAGCCTGGGCGGAATAGGCCGTGAGAGAAATGTCGACTTATTATTATCGGGGATAGTGAAGCGAGTATCTATTACGCCTTCATACACAGTACAGATAGTAACAACCTAGTGCCTTGTTTTGAGATTGAAAACATAGGGTGTGCATTCCATGACTGCCCAAGCAGTCAATCGTGTGTACGCCTTATACGTAAGGTACTTGTTCCCATTCATGTATTCCTTTTCTTTTTTCGTTTCTTTCATGGCGTCTGTCTTCCTCGATCAACTACCTCCTCTTCTGTCTTCACCGCTTCACGAAAGGACGAAGCAGAGCAGATCTCGCACCTCTCGCGCACACGCAGTTCACAATGCTTACTAACCGCCGAGGAATGCCGTAAACTGGTATTAGCATTACCTACACCATGCTATGCTATCCAATCCAACAATCCAAAAGTCTATACGTCGCAAACATCCTCATCCTCACCCTCTTCCTCTTCCTCTTCCTGTTCTAGAATCTACTACCTCCCATCCTCTCGCGACTCGGCACTTTCCTCTCCACCACCATCTCCCCTACTCCGACTCCCACTCCCATCCCTACTACCCCCGGTCCCACTCCTCCCCCTCCCCCTCCCCCTCCAGAAATCCGTCAGCGTCTCGCTCAAACTCCTGCTCCTCGTCACGGGCCCTCCATCTCCACCTCCACCTCCATCTCCATCTGCATGTCCATTCCCACCTACCTCTTCTCCCTCCGCCCCTCCTTCATCCCCCCTCCTACCTCCATCCCCACTCTCTTCACCCTCCCCCTCCACTACACCCGCACCCTGCTCCTGCTCCTGCTCCTGCGACTGAAACAGCGCCCTCCCCCTAAAACTCCCCACCCCACCGCCCCTCTTCAGATCCGCCACCACGGCGCTCAACGTCGAGCTCAGCGGACTCGCCAGCAACTGCCCATGCCCGTGCGGCGAAGCCATTGCGTAGATACTCTTCCTTGTCCCTGCTCCTCCTGTCGCTGCAGCCGCACCGGGGCTGGAGCTGCCAGGCGTCCCCAGACCCAGCGTCGCCGTCGCCAGCCGTTGAACGAGCGATTGATTGCGTTCCGAAAGGCCGGGTGTAGTTGGGGCTGCAGCGGGGTGTTCCGAGGGTGCACGGGTAGGAGTCCCTGGTCTTAGGGGAGGATGCTGTGACTCCGGAGCGGGATGATGCTCTGCGGGCAACGCAGCTGGTGACGCGGTGACGGGAAACACCGGGCTGGAGGCAAACCGCAGCACCGGCGGGTGAGGTGGATGTGTCGTCGTTGCTGGGGCAGCCGCAGAGTCGGCTTCTTCGGTCCAGGGGTTGGATAGCATGGCATCTGCGAGCGGCAGTGTAGGATCGGTCCTCGAGCGCCGTGCGAGCGTTGGTGGTGATCCAAATCGCGGCTGCTCGGAGGCGGCATGTGCATCGTGCTCCTTCTGGCGGTCTTCCCCGAAAAGGGGCGAACAAGTGAGGCGCACGGGAGAGGAGTCTCTCCTACCACCATGTTCCGCTTCATTCTCGACCTCATGGTCCACTTCGTCCCGGTACCTCTCCCCGTCGTGCAGATGAATCGCTTCTTCCTCATCGGTTTCCCTCCGCTGATGCCTCCCACTCGTAATCAGCCACACACCCAAGAACGTCATTGCGCAGCCGCCTACAAACTTGCCTGCCTGTTTCCCAGACGTGCGCTCAAAGTCGCGGTAGAGGATTGCCGAGCCCAGGATGACGGAGAGAGTGAAGAGGACGAATTGCACGGGAATGACTTGCGTGGCGTCGAACCGTTGTAGCGCCCGGTTGACATATTTGATTTGCATGATTGCCGTGAAAATGAGGATGGCGACGAGGAGGTAGGTCACAGGGAAGGTGAGGGCGTGCCAGAGGGTGTAGGAGAGCATGGATGCGACGCCCTTAGTTGACAGGGCAGTGTAGCCTCCTGTATCAACTGTCAGTCCTCACAAAACTCGGAGATTCCAAGACAAGCAGAGCATACCAAACAGTCCCACCAAGCCCAAATCGATCAAGATATTCTTCTCCCCGAACCGATTGCTCGCCACCATCAACATCCCAATCACTCCCACCGTAACCCCAAGATACGTCTCAAACTCCCACGTGGTAATCAGCCCCCAGATATCCTCGGGCCCCAGTTTCGGATTGTCGCTGCTGGCCGACGCAACCACCGTGACTGCTCCCCCAACAGCGACAAGTACCCCCAAGCCATCGCGCTTGCGGAAGACCTCCTTCAGCATAATGGGCGCAATGATGCAGTTCGATATCAGCGCCACGACGCCGAGGGGAGAGACAATGGAGGCGGGAGCGAACCCGTATGCGAGGAAGTTCCCCGCTTCGCCGGTCGTCATGAGAATGATGCCGGCCCACCACCAGGGGGACTTGAGGTAGGATTTCTGCTTGTACGCTTCTTGTGTGGCTGCGACAGTGGATGAGGAGGATAAGGAGGAGGAGGTGTTGTTTGATTCCGCGGTTCTTCTGTTTCGAAAGCGGGCGTGGTGGGAGGCGGGGAGTAACGGGTCGTCTTCTGTAGCGTCGATGTCGACTTCGACGTCCCCATCGACCTCTCCGTCCCGCTCATTCTGCTCTTCCTCCTCCGCGACAGCAACGTCTGTATACCGCGGACGGTGGAATTTCCTGTTATCATAACACCCATTCCCTTCCTGTCCTTCCCCATCCCCATCCTCAAATGCCTCCCCACGTCCTCTTCCCCTCCCACTCCTCTTCTTCTTATCCATCTCCTTCCTCCTCCTCGTCTCCTCCTCCTTCCTTCGCTTCCACTCCCTCCCAATCCGAATATGCGCATACCGCTGAAGATTCAACGCAAAACTAATTAGCACATTCCCCACAATCGCCGTCACGATGCCAATCAAACTACTCCAGTTTTCGGGCGAGTATCCCGGTATCGAAGGCGTGGAGGTAGCGGGCGGAGGTGCGGTGTTCGTCCTCGCAGAGGAAGATATCGTTGGGGGCGCCGTTGAGGTTGCCGCTGTCAAAAGGGTCGCCATCGCTGTGCCAGCAGCGCTATCATAGCCCTGCAAAATCATCGTCTGTCTATGCTATGTATCTGCCGGGCTGCCAGCTCCGGCTGGGAAAAACAGGTACTGTGGAATCGGATGGGTATCTACGGCGGACCGGGGAACCTGATGTTTCTCGCGTCGAGTCGCGTCACACGAGGTATCATGTACAAGCGTTGTTGGATATGCAAAGACGGCAGCCGATATGCAACATTATGACATGGGGGAGGAGTTAGTTCAGTACAAGGCAGACAGCGTTGGGGTAGAGAATGTTGGAGAAGGTTGGATTCGGACATGGCAAAGTACCCGGCTGCATGGATCAGCTTGGTGCTGGGATGTTTCCTGCACATGATTGAGGGTGGTCTGAGCTCCTCACAACTCGCATCATCGTGCAGATATCCGAGATCCCGAGACGGTTAAGCGCCATAACGACTCCAGTGCATATAGCACTAGAAAAGGGCTGTCTTACAGCTAGATACTATACGATACAAGTAAACCGAGATTGTACTCCCCAGTATAGCCGACGACGTAGCAGTCGCCTCCTGAAGACTGAAGTGGAGCCAGAACTCTAGAGAATACGAGCACCGGTCAGTGCAACGTTGCAATGCTGCGAATGTGAGCAGCTTGGAAAATCCTCCACTCTCCGCTTCCCGTTCACCGAAATCATAAATCCATATCTCACTCCTCATCACCCCATCAAAGGGTCACATCAGCGCCATTCGTCTCCTCCCCGGGTTTGGCGTCCTCGTCCATTTGCTCCACCTTAGGCATAGGGTGCGGCGACTTGGGCTCAGCCTCGAGAATCCTCACCCTAGCCTCCACAGCCTCCTCCCCAACCACGGATTCCTCGACCTGCGCTTTGCGGACGAAAACGGTGTGCCATCGCCTTGCCCAAGCTCTGATGAGTTCGCCCTCTCTGGTGGAAATCGCGCCGCTGGCCTCCTTCTCCAGCAGCGTGTCGCCGCCCTCGGCAACGCCGCGGAGTGTGTCCTCGATATATCTGAACAGTTCCCGGGCCTTGTCGCGGTCCTTGGCCAACGTGGCCTCCACTAGCTCAATTTGGTCCTCGGGCAGGTCCTTCTGAAGTCGTGCCAAGGCAATCTGGCGATTGCGCTTCGTGACCTTGGCCATCGTGTTCAACACCATCTCGAACACCCATGCTTTGGCCAACGCTTCCCCTGCTCCAAGGTAGTCGCCGAGCGCCCACTGGACGACCGTCATGGGTGCCAAGATGGTGTAGTTGAGAAGGATATCGATGATTCTGACTGCGACGCCAGGTTGGTCCTTCCAGTACTCGACCACGCTCGCCACAATCTGTCGCCGAGCGGTCTCGGAGTTGTTCGCAATGGATAGCAGCTGCTCTTTCCCACGTTCAATGCACGAAAGAACATGAGAGAGCGACTTGGCGCCAGCGCGGCAGATGGCTGTCATAAAGGCATCGGCGGAGGGTACCAGGACATCGGCAATTCCTTGCTCTGCAGCGAGCTCTCGGATCTTATCAAGGGTTTGCTTGAAATCTTCATTTGAGCCCTTCTTCTTGAGGAGGGCCAGGAGTGCTTGGCCCTCGGCAGCATAAGGAGTGGCTAAGAGAAATGGTTAAATGCGCCTAATCTTGCAGGTTCAGACCCAACATACCTTCATTGTCATACTTGAAGTCCGGGCTTTTGTCTTCGTCCAAGCGTTCCGGGATCAGCGAATGCATATTCTCCGGGATCGTGGACCGGATGCGCTTCGCAAACGAAAGGCGGATCTCCCGGTCAAGTGCCGCAATAATGAATGCCTTTTGAGGATGGAGCTCCGTCAGGGAGAGATCATCAGCCCTGGCACGGGTCAGCTTCCCATAGAGACCAGAATGCATGTCACATACCACTCCTGCCATCGCCATCTGAAATCGAAATTGCTGACGTGGTGAGCGAACCAGTCCAAGAAGCGATATGCCAACTCCAGATCCATGATATCAAGATTCTTGTAGATTGTCCGAATGGCCCTGCCTAGTGAGGGAGCAATCGCCGATGGCGCAATCTTGCAACACTCCGTAATGAGGGAGTGATAGTAGACCAGCTTGTGTTCCGGGTTGGGTAACTTCAACAGCTGGGAAAAGATCGCCTCCACAATGATGTCCTCTGGTTTCCAGAGCTCCTCACCTGCTTTTATCCGCTCCTTGAACTTCTCGAAGCTAGTTCCACGGTGGGCGAACTTGTCCTTGACCCAGAACTGGTCGAGGTCGATCAGAAATTTGGCTACAGCTTCCCGGTTGAAGTCGAGCTGGTCAATGGTGTCGACAATAGAATCCCGAATGAGAGAAGCGGCGATGTCATCAAGCTTCGGCACGCTTTCGATATCTTGCCCGGTGTACAGAGAGAAGTAGGCTTCGGGGAACAGCGGCTTGAGGCCTGGGTTGACGGGAGAAGGAATGGCGAAGGCAGGAAACGGGTGCTTCAAGTGGGCGACTTTTACATGTTCTTCCGGGAAGGGGATGAAGGGCCGAAAAAAGGACAATGGCCAACCAGCAGCGGACTCCTTGATAAGCTGGGATTGCAACAATCCGATGACACTATGGTAGGCCATCGGGATGTTGTCACCACCATTAGGAGCATATGTATGAATCAGGCCTTCCATGGGAAGCATGTTTCCCGCCACAATACCGGTCTTATCCAATAGCTTCTGGGCATGCTCGTGGAACGAAGCGCCACTGGAGAAAATCGCATACGGAATGGTGAGGAGGATGACTTTGACCAATTCAATGCCGACAACATCATTCTCGTTTGAGCTCTGCAGGTCCACGACGGTATCGAACAGCTGTTCTAGGAAGCTAAACACGCCGTCGCCCTCGAATTCGGACTGGACGCAGGCAAGGAAGCGAAGTAGGAGTTTGAACTCGGCCCAATTTCCCTTGCTCAAGGCATCTTGTGTACGGGTTGCGATTCGCTTCAGCGCATCCGTGGCAATGTCGGTGTTCACACTGTTAGTGTAAATGACCACCAGCGCCAAGTATGGTATCCTGAAAGGCTGTTCGAGAATCCTGCAACAGTCAGTCGGCATAAACCCCAAAAAAAGGTATGCATGATACCTACAGCTGGATCATGATATTGAAGAACTCATTTTGCAGGTAGGTATCGTCGAAGTTCTCGTCGAGGCCGAGCGCAAGATCAACCGCATCCTCGTACGCATCCCTTCCGGATCCAATGTGAAGGAGTTGGCGGCGGAGCCTGGTGAGAGGCGTCTCCTCAACGCGACGGTCTTCGAAGCGGCGACGAAAGCGGCGGTCATCCGTGTCGTTGTCGCCTTCATCAAGCCGTCAGCAATTTCCATGGGAGCGCGCGAAGATATCAAACCTACCGGAATAGCGTCGCTTGCGATTGCCGTAGCCCATCCTGGCCGCAATCACTACCAGGTGAGCTTGGGACAGCTTCCGGCGGGATCACAGTAAGTATACGAGCTGATTGAAGGAAGGAACTTTGCAACGTGCAATGATGCTGGAGATTGTTGTTGTTCGAGATCAAGCCCAAGCTCTGCCGCCGGATCTTGGCACTCGCGTCCCTTGCAGCGGTCACGTGAACGAGCACGTTCACTCCGATATTTCCCTCCGACACTTGTCACTCCAGGATTGAACTTCGTGGAGTTGCAATTGCATTCCGCTGTTGACTCACCTTCATAAGGTCAATGACGTAGGGCGCAATTAAGGCTCACCGCAACTCCAGATCTATCGTGTAGGCGTCGAGAAGAATTGTTGCACCTACACTCCGTCGGTAGACATCCGCCTCTATTCACAGGACTAGAAAGGGTGAATCTAGCATAATCACCATATACCGCCATTTGGTGTGTGGTGCAATAGCATCAGAAACAAACATATTCGAGCACCAGCCAGCACGCCCGTCTATGAACTTTCAGAGCACGATATGGTTACGGCTTTCGAGAGGCGCAAGCACACTGACGAAACACTCCCATGCTTGTTGAGTACTTTGATTGGAGAGAACCTCGAAATGACCCCCAGTCAGACGCCCGGCAGTTCCCAGAACTAAAGCCGCCAGAACATCTGAACAGAACATGGCAGAAGTGAAGAAGAAAGAGTCTACTTGTCCTAGAAGCGTCCCTGAACCGAAGAGATGGATACAAAGCCTGCGCCAGTGAATACCCTTCCGCATGGTAGGCCAGGTACCCTACGAAGTCGCCCCAACAGTAACCCGACCCGACCCATTGCAATTCCATTGCAAGGGCAATCCAGCCAAGAATACCACTCTTCCGTGTTGGACGACGATCATAGCTCTCAGCGGAAGCGTGGCCATGATGCGCGCAACAAGGAAAATCAAGAGAAAATCCACATGCTAGGGAACCGCATTTTCAGTGCACACACGCCCCATCAGAGGAGCCAGCCTTGGGAATTTATGTGCCATACGACCGTGACTTTTATCGTGTCTCATACCTCAACTGTGTCATCTGCTGGCTGAAGAAAAGAAAAAGAATATGAAACCCGTCCACCAACCAGTGGACGATACTTCGATGGAAAAAGTAGGCGTGTTTGAAAGGAAGCAGACGAGGAGTTTTGGCATGGACGTTGGCGTTCGTATCGAAGCACGGTGCTCGAAGGGGGCATTGTACATGTGGGCGTTAAGCATCCAGAAATCGACTCCGAACAGAACTCCAAAATGCTCGATTGATCGGGCTGCAGGCTTTCATCATCGCTAAAACGGAGACGGTCGGATGCGCATGTCGCGTGTAGAATGATAGGGTATCGTTTGACGCAGACGGCTTGACGTCTTAGTCCAAGCGGGCCATCATTTGCTCCCTGGTCAAAGGCTTGAAGTTCGGGGACTCGAAATCCAGACCGCGAGCGACCAAGCCCGGACGGACATGAGGGGGCACCAGCTGCTGGTTGAGATGCGGCGCGATCGAGAGTTCTGGGAGATGTTAGCGTTGCGAAGAGAGCGCGGAGGGGGCCTAGCGTACCGTGGTGAGTGAAGTCAAACAGGTTGGGGAGGGGACGAGGAGGCGCGTTCGGATGGCGTGAGTCCGGCAGCAGCGTATTGGGGTCCCTCAACTCGTCGAAGAATGGCTGCACCATAGCATCAATCGCCGAAAGACGCTGCGTCGGCGTGTATTCCAACAGCTTCGAGATCAGGTCAATCGCTGCCGGATCAGCCTTGCGGAAAACCTGGCGCGCGGTTAGCCTGGAATGTGCGGTCATGTGCGGAGGTAGACAAACCTTGCTGAACGGGTGGGGTTTGATCTGCGGGAACTTGTGCTCCATGTAGTTCGGATTCATGGTGCGAATCTGATCACGGGTGGGAGTGCCCAGGACCTTGATGATCTCCACGAGCTGGTCGATGCCAGACTCTCCAGGGAAGAGAGGTTGGCCAAGCATGAGCTCAGCCATGACGCAACCGGTGGACCAAACGTCTACACGTCATGTTAGCGAGTTCACCAAGCCACCGCCGTGGTTCACTGACCAATCTTCGTAGTGTAGTTGGTAGCCCCAAAGATCAGCTCAGGAGCACGATAGTATCTCGAGCAGATGTAGGACACGTTCGGCTCGTTCTCGACGAGGATCTTAGCGCTGCCGAAATCGCAGAGTTTCAACACGCCAGTCGAAGGATCGAGCAGCAGGTTTTGGGGCTTGATGTCTCGGTGGCAGATACCCTGGCTGTGAATGTAGGCCAGCGAACGGAAGAGCTGGTAGATGTAGAGCTTGACTTCGAGGATGGGCATGACGGTCTTCATCTTGCTGAAGTAGCGCGAGGCTCGGTAGACGGTCTCCGGGACAAATTCCAAGACGAGATTGAGGTAGACCTCGTCCTTCTAAGGTGATGGTTAGTGGCGGTCAATTTCGAAGGCAAGGGGGTAGGTTGCACGCACACGTTCGCCATTGTTGTAGAAGAAAGCCTTGAGCTCAACGATATTGGGGTGTCGGACGATGCGCATTATTTGCAGTTCGCGGTTCTGCAGGCAAGTCAGTCAAGGTGCTCGCGCGACCGCCGTGGTACACAAGGGCGGATGGGACTCACCTTGAAACGCTTGTCCTGCAGCACACGCTTAATCGCCGCGTCCTCACCGCTTGGGGAGAGCTTGGTCTGGAAGACGACGCCGAAAGAGCCATTTCCCACTATTTTGCATTGCGTGTAAGCCAAGTCTTTGTACTCGCCGGTCAGACCATCCTGGACTTTCTCGCGGACAACCTCTGCGACTTGTTAGTATGACGATGGGATAGCACGTGCGGGAGAAGCTCACCGCCCATTCTCAGCGACGAGAAGGCAGACGTCCGGCTCTGGGACATTGTCGTCAGTGTATTGTGGGATGGGTTGGAGGGTCGCGGCTATCGTTCGTAGGGTGGGCTGCGGTTGAGTTGGCTATGGGCAGAAGGACGGGAGCTCCTGTAGGGATCCGTGGTTGGCGCAAATGACGTTGTGGAGGGGTGCGTAGGTGTGTAAGAGAGTGCACGACGTGGTAAGGTAGAGGATGTTGTTGTTGTTGTTGTGGCGTGAAGGTGAGGTGGAAGGAGCGGGTGCGTCGAAGTCGTCACTGGGGTCGGTCAAGTGATGAGCACAGGCAGGGCGGTGGGCTGGCGGGAGGCAGTGGCCGTGGCTTGGGGCGGGCGGGCGCAGCGCTGGTCTCAGGACACGCAGGGCACGCACAACGGTGAATTGGCGGCGACGGACGGCTGCAGCGGTATTGCAGGTTGGAGGTGTAGGTGTGCGAGGAGAGAGGGAAGAGAGAGAAAATGAGAAGCAGGTGAGAGGAGGCGGGACAGCAGAGGCAAGACAGGTTGGTGGTAGTGGGCAGGCGGGCTGATGATGATGGAGGAGGAGCAGAGCAAAAGGTTCGTCTGTGCTGGGGGGGGGGCAGCGGGGCTTTTTGGGGTCTTAGCGCGCTAGGTCATTTAGCTCATTAGCTGTGAAGCCCCAACTGGTCACCTGCTTCCGACGACGCAGCACCCACGGTCCACCTCGCACGCCAAGCAGGCACCTCGCAGGCGCCCGGGCAAGCTCGAGAGTCAACACAGGAGAGGGCGTTGAGATGAGGCGACAATAATGGGCATAGTTCGAGTAGGGTCGGCGGAGAGGAACGCTGGGAACAGTGGACGGGGTGGTGGCTGGAGGGGCGGAAGAGGGCGGAAGAGACGCTGAAATGAGAGGACAGAGTAGCGCGGCGGGCGGAGATTGGTTGTCTGAGTGCACGAGGGCAGCAGCGGAAGTCGGAGTTCTCTATTTTCTCTTTTTCTCTTTTCTCTTCCTCTTTCTCTTCCTCTTTCTCTCACTCTCATTCACTACTAGTCTACACCTTTTCCTGTCGATTCTCTGTGCTGTTCCTGGCGCGCAAGCGGGGCACGGCAGCAAAGCAGCAAACCTAGCCCTGCATTTGCAGCTCGTGCAGCATCGGGAGAGAAAGGGGGGCTGGGAGGGACGAGGGACTTGACCAAGCAGAGAAGAGTTTCAGTACGGGAGTACTCGGTACTGACCACAAACACCAATTTCACCCTTTGCAATGGGACGGGCGCTGCTCTAAATACCAGTAGGACCATGCCAGAGCTCCCGCCTGGCTGGAGCCATGATGACAGAGGAGACAGAGACGACTGTCCAATTTTAAGAGCGATACCCTTCTGTGTACAGCATGTCCCAGGACGGCTTAGCGCCAGAGGGAAGCACCTGACCAGCTGCGTTCATGCCAGGCCCGATCCCCCTCCCCGTTGCCGCCATGTGTAGAAAATGGAATCAATGAACGCACGTTCCCCAATCCCTTGCATGGCCCCCCTCCGTGAACGTTTTCCCTGTGAGACCTGGCTACCTGGCTTCTCACGAACGAGAACGAGTAGCAAACCCACCGTCCCAACAGCTTCGGCCCTCTCCCATCCTGGGCAACCTGTTCGCATAGCTGCACAAGGCATATGTATGGAACGCTTGCCCTGAAAGGCGACTGCCCTCGACACCTCGCCAGCAGCAATCCCAAGCTGGTCAAACGCACAATTGATCAATTTTTGCTGCCGGCCAAGTGCCCATCCGTAAAAGAAGACGTCAAGCTGCAGCTCGCGTCGGCGCGAGTGATGGTTCGTCTGCAGCACCCAATCAGTTGTCGTCAAAAGTCCGCCAATCTCCATGTCAGCACCCGCTTTTACTCATTACCCCTCTCACGTGACCCGGTTTTGTTTCGAACCTTGGAATTGCTCTCGAGCTCCACCAGCCCGTCGCCATCACCCATCTGCCAGTGTGTACCTCCAGATACAGCAGCAAACGAACCCGACTTCACCATACTATGAACACCTACACATCCTCATGCATCCCAATCTCTGGTATGTAATCATCCTTCACTCTCCATCCCTCACAGGCTGATGACTTGACTTGACGCAGCGTAGAGGTCAGCTCCAGATCCGTGCCACGATCTGCGCGGATGCTCACTTTCGTTCCCGCCATGTCTCGCATATCCAATCAATTTCTCAGCCTCAGCCCTGTCGACGGCCTTTCCAGTCCACCATCTTTTGCTGAACGGCAATCCCGTTACACACTGAACGTGCATCGACATGGCCCGATTCGGAGACGAGCATGAGCTCGGTATGCCGTCCTACACAGCACCTGTTGCTCTACTGTGTATGCCAGGTGATTGCTCGGCTCGCCCTTACGAAGAGAACCTCATCCATAATGAGCTGGAATTTGAAGCGTTGATACTTATGCCGTGTAGCACCGCATAGCATCGCCCTCGAGCGCTGACGACGCTTATCTACAGCTGTCATGGCCTGGCCCGCTGCCATCAGTCTCCTCCCGTGTCACACGAGCTCGGGGCCCAAGTGCACCGGCCAGCCTTCTGCCAGACGAGTCTCCTGCACGGGACATAGACCATCACTGCCCCAACTTCAATGTCGGTTGGACTCCAACATGGCTCACATTCCATCATGTCCCGTTTCATTGCCGCAGCTTTGGCTCCCCTGGAAGAAGCAACGGAGCCTGATAGTGGGCATCGCCCCCGCCCGCTGAGAAGGAACCCTGCTTCGCACCTGCTTCCTAAGTATTTCTTTCTAGGAGCATCACAATACGGGATTGTGCCGACATACAGATACCTTCCAGAGGCTGGCCTCCCTCCGTAACCCTTCTTCTTCCCTTGGCCACATCCACTCACTGCGCCTATTGCACGTCGCGCCCTTTCGGCCTCATCGAGTGCTCATGCAGAACCAGATTCAGTGCTATAGAACCCCCAGATTCAAGCCAGACATCCGGAGTCCTACCGCATACAGGGACCCTGGCCCGCTCTCTCTTCACATTTCCTCCTTTATTGGGCGATTGTGACGCCTATGCGAAAGATCCCGCGACCCGTTCAACCTCTACTCTCAGCATAAGTTTTTCTACAGCCTATGGTGCCACGAGTTGGCCGTATCCACCCATCTGCATGGCAAAGCTGTTGCTTGAACGCCCCTTAACGTGGTGAAGACTCATTGGACAACATCACCGTCCGCATTTTCAGTGGCAGACGGTGTGCAATGCAAAACAGACGGGCTGATGTGCATCAGTCTTCAGATGATAACGGCCAGGTCTAGACTTGGTCGGAGGACCTGGCGCAAGCATAGGAGACGCTGACTTGCCTATTGGGCTCACTGCGCATATAGAAACACACCTGTTATCAACCAAAATCAGATAACCCGCAACCACACTGCCCCTCTCTCGTCCTCACCGAGAACCTGCTGGCCTCGTCTTCTCCGTGAAACCTCACGGATCACACCCGTCTCCTCCATCTTTGAGCACACTGGCAGTTCACCCATAACGACCGCCGTGTATGGCTACGGCTACCAGCAGAATCGCCGATATTTATAGCTCCGGGAAACACATGCAGGACTCAACCTTTGTAGTCTGTGCCGTTCGTCGAGTCCTGTCGTCCCGTCGCACCGATGCTTGTATTAGAGTCTGGTCAACGGCCAGTGGCATCGCGTCGTTGCACAAAAGTTTCAGATTTCCCGGCTATCAGCAGCGGTTGTGCCGTTCTCCGGTAGCACATTGAAGAATGATGTCCGGAATCCCGGTTCGCTCGATGGGGACAATGCTTCATCACTCCTGCCACCGGTATCACTGCAGTGCAGACTCTCTCCGGGAATGCGCGTCCCCTCGAGTGGTACCTGCAGATTTAACTAGGCTTCAGGATATATACCTCACGGTCTCCCTATGACGTTAGTCTACCTAATCTCGACTGCGTACACAGTACTCCCTCTGCCAAACACATCCTCCTTCTCAGTGCTCACTGCTGACGATACACGGTACAACCTTCTACAACATGAGAAACACCGCGCGCCGTCTCAACCGGGTCGAGCAAGCAGCAAAGAGATCAGGTACCTACCCACACCCATACCGTCCGACGTTACGACGTCGCCGGAGGCAACAACTCAGTTGGGAAGCACGGCTCGACACATTATCTCGCGATTGCAAGGGAGTCCGGATATAGATACTGAGAAGAGATTCAGTAGATCGAGCGAAAGATTACTAATCTACCTGACGAGTCCTGTAGTACAAAGACCGTTGCACGGCTGCTAGCCTGCTGCTGTGGAATCGGAAGTCGCGATTTGTGCGGTCCGATGCGGTTGACGCGTCGTCCGGCTCCTGGCTGCGTCCAACTAGTCGGCGAATTCGCACGTGAGGCGTGATGTCTCTGCGGAATACGGAAGCTACAAGGTTTTGTCGAACTGTAGTCGCTTCTCTGACGTGCACGAGGTTATTTACATCTGGTACTGCGCGTATCCATGCGCAAAGAATCTGATGGCGTGGGTGTATGGCTCTGGTAGTAAAGCTTTTAGCCCTGTATGCGACATAGAGGAGCACTTGGGCGGTTTCCGCTCTACATACGTTACCGGCTACGCTGTCGAGATGATGTAGTACTAGGTGAAACTCTTGCTGTACCTGTGTGGTATGGGTGCTTCTGTATCTGTCCGTATCTGGTGATCTATTCTGTAGTCTATCCGTCCCGCTTTACAGTGGCAATTTTACGGTGCTCGTTTCTCTCTCCCCTCCCCCCCCCCCCCCCCCCC